AAAATTATATTTCAAAAAATAAATATATACAAACATTTTTATGGGGGGATTTGAAATGATGCAGACAATTTAGAATATCTGCAATATTAAAGCTGATCTACCCCCTAAAACCAAGAAGAAGAGCAGGTTAGTTGAAACAAGGCGGCGTTTTCTATAAGCTAACCCAGTAATGGAAACATAGTTATCACACATCCTGGCGTACAATCTGTCGCTATAGTACTCGTACCCATTTGGTACCTGGCCTTCCCACACTGGGTACTTTGGGAGACTGATAAGAACGTAGGGCTAACGATCAGTAGCTGATGGCATCAAACGGTTCTCATCATTAGCTGTGATAACCATTGATATCAGGCAGCTGAATAGCCGTAGCAGGATGATTTTTCGACCAACCTTTTTTTTTCTTAATTCTTGACTTGGTAGTTTAGAAGACACCGGCTAGTTGCAGAGGGAACGTTTGATTTAGAAAATGCTCTTTTATTACATTAAATAAATGTTTGCTCCATGAGGTAATCCAACAATGTACACGCCGCCATCTTTATCCATTTCTCTCATTGGATTGAGACGTGTTGGTGTGCTACGCTCAGTGAGACTGGAAATCATTGATCGCTTTGAAAGACGCCTGTCTCAATCAATGGGAGAAGATGGGGAAACAGACAACATGGCGAACACAAACATCACTGGATTACTTCATGGAGCAAAACGGTGACTTCCAAGTCGAGAATTAAAAGTATCGACCAACCTTTTCTTGGCGACAAATCTCCTGCTACGGCTATTCAGCTGCCTGATATCAATGGTTATCACAGCTAATGAGGAGAACAGTTTGATGCCATCAGGTACTGTTGCAGATGAGGTGGGGGGGGGGGGGGGTTCGGGGCTTCAGTAACATTAACTAGCTAACATTATTGTTTTTTTTTTTTGAGAACAGAAAACCACTGATTGGGGGCGGTCAGTGTCAATTTGACACAGTGTTACACATACACACACACACATACACACGTTGTTATTATTACAATTCCACTGAAAAACATTTCTCGGTGAAAGGATGTTCTGGATCTAGTCTTCTGTCATGTCCTTGACTGCCTGGAATACAAAAAGCCTGCCTCACCGACAGCAGCATCTTTCATAGTCACTCAGCCACACATTCTGTTAGCCTTAGAACCACCCCCCAGTTGTTCTGTAGAAGACCCAAGGTTGCACCGAGATGTGGTGAATAGACTGCAAAACGATTCATAGATAAATTTTAATGGATTTTTGTTGAATTCTTCCGTCGCCTCACACACAGTAATGGCCACGTTTACAAATGTTGTGTGGGCAGTTTTATTAGTGAAAAGATACATCCACCTTGTTTAGTCTTGTTATGTTATAACTTCAATGTCCTTCTACCTTGAACACCGGGCAAGAGGTTTTCAAACAAAATGGCATTGGCAATAAAGAAAAGTCATTTTCAGTGGTTAGCTCTCGTCCAGCTATCCTTTTTATTAATTCACAAACCTCTGCTTTAAGAACTTGTTCTATCTACATGACTCACTGAAATCACTATGGTGACAACTGTGAGAATACGTTGTTCTCCACTGTGGATGAAAGCTTAGGAAGAAATCGAGGGAGCCAGATGGTGGCTTTTCAGCAGAGGCTGAAGGCAGGGTGCAGGGTCAGAAGATTCCAGACAGACTGAAACGGGGAGCGACTACCTGGACTTGTCAAATAAGAAATGCAGAGTGCATCAGCGTTGATGACAGCAGAACACAGCACAGCCCTCCCCCCCCCCCCCCCAGGCTGCAGAGAGCGAGAGGAGAGGGAAAGAGAAGGAGTTGAGAGGGAGAGAGGAGGAGGAGAGGGAGAGAGGGGTGTGCCTCTGACTTTAGCTGGTCTGTTCTATCGGAGGGGGCTCGTGATCTGTTTATTCTCTTCCTCCTGCTACTGTAGCTACATCCTCTGTAAGCGCTCATGCATTCAGAAACACGAAGTCGCCTGTTTGAGTTCCTAGCACATGGATTGGTGAGTGACGTGGAGGTTGTTTTATTAAGTAGTGCCTGTTTCCGTAACCGTTGTTTGGGATGATTTTTAAGGGTGATTTTGGTAGATTTACAGGTTATAAATTAATCTATACCCCAATATATGAAATGTGCATTGTATAGGGTACTAGATGCATTTGATTTTTTTCTTTTTTTTAAAACTTTGATGCGAACTGCACATATTTTAAGATGATGGTGAGAGATATTTTTTTGTGAATGCAAAATAAGGTGGCCTTTATTCAATACAAGGTTGTTTTAATTTTAATTTAATCTGTGTTGGCTAGTGCTGATGTTTATATTGTCCTTGAACGATCGTTCAATTGACTTTCGATCTACATCAAATATCAGAGCATCCCTGCCTGTATTTCAACACATGGATTTGTATCCGTTTGTTGCTGCTCACCAATGTTTCCTGTATGCGTTTTCTATTTATAAGAGTCTTATAGTTATTCATAAATAATGGTGATGAATGTAATCTAGTTTTCACGCCTTTGAAACATCCTCTATCCAGAGAATCAGCAAGAGTCCTGACCTTGGTGATAGATCAGGAATGGGGTGGGGGACCACAAAAAATCTGAACTCATGAGGGGCCACAGTTGCTCATGGCCCCTCGCGAGCAAAACATTTCGTGCAATTGTACACATTTTGCCATGGGGTTTAGAGGAAATGTTGCTGTTTAATGCAAGTTTGCTGCAATTCTATACATTTTGCCATTGGTAGAGAGGAGATTTTGCAATTTTATAACAAATTTCATGCAATTCTACTCATTTTGCCATAGGGTGGAGAGAAATGTTTACAGTTTTTAATATGATATCTGAGTGAGACTGACTAACAAAATCAATGGGGGCCCCCCGGCCGGTAATTCGACCATGATTACTAAGTTTAGATAGCTGGCCGCTAGACTAACTTATCAATCTAAAAATGTTTAGCTGACATGGGCTAATTGAGTGACTATCAGTGACTGCCATAACAATAGAAAAACTGCTAATGCACAACCAAATTTCAAAATTGTTTTAACTCGCAAAAGTAAGTTGAGACACCGACTGAGTTCCTAAAAAAAAATATGGATCCGAGGGCCTTCAAAAGGAGGGGGCGCCAGTTGTCCATCCCTGCGATAGATGATGCTTGGCTGGAACATAAATGGTTTGTCAGGGGCTTGGGGCATTGTTGGTACGATTCCTTCCACTACCGTCCTCACCTAGCCACATCCTTGACTGTGGTACAGAACACATCCGTTCTAGAACACATTCGCTACGCTACATCAGACTAAACAGAGCAAGGTTGTATTCTCCTAAGGCAGCTACAACATCTCCTCTTCTCTCCCACAATAAAAAAACCTTATCTTCTCCCTTTCTCTTTGCTTCTTGTTCCACATTTCATCTCTTTTATCCTCCCCGTTCCCCCCCTCTTTTCTCCTACCATCAAACACCATCCATCTTTTCCTCTCTTCCAGACTCTAACCCCTCCCCGTCTCTCCTCTCTTCCAGACTCTAACCCCTCCCCGTCTCTCCTCTCTTCCAGACTCTAACCCCTCCCCGTCTCTCCTCTCTTCCAGACTCTAACCCCTCCCCGTCTCTCCTCTCTTCCAGACTCTAACCCCTCCCCGTCTCTCCTCTCTTCCAGACTCTAACCCCTCCCCGTCTCTCCTCTCTTCCAGACTCTAACCCCTCCCCGTCTCTCCTCTCTTCCAGACTAACCCCTCCCCGTCTCTCCTCTCTTCCAGACTCTAACCCCTCCCCGTCTCTCCTCTCCTCCAGACTCTAACCCCTCCCCGTCTCTCCTCTCCTCCAGACTCTAACCCCTCCCCGTCTCTCCTCTCTTCCAGACTCTAACCCCTCCCCGTCTCTCCTCTCTTCCAGACTCTAACCCCTCCCCGTCTCTCCTCTCTTCCAGACTCTAACCCCTCCCCGTCTCTCCTCTCTTCCAGACTCTAACCCCTCCCCGTCTCTCCTCTCTTCCAGACTCTAACCCCTCCCTGTCTCTCCTCTCTTCCAGACTCTAACCCCTCCCTGTCTGTTCTCTCCCCCTCCAGAGACCAGGTGGGATGCCCCCATCCAGCCGTATGACCCCCCAGGGCCCGCCCATGGGGCCTCCAGGCTACGGCTCCAGCCCTGTGTCCCGACCAGGGATGCCCAGTGTCATGGACCCCTCCCGTAAAAGGCCTGCCCCCCAGCAGATCCAGCAGGTCCAACAGCAGCGCAACCAACAGTAAAATCTCAGACTACATGTTATTTTAGGCTTGGCTAGATTTACTTCAACAGCAGGCTTTCACATTGTTACCAGGGTATAAGGAGGGACGTTATAAATTATTATTAGTTTACTGTGATTTTTTGTCTTCATTCAGAGTTGACCATGTCTTTGTAGGGAAAAATACATGTGTGTGTACATGGTGCATACAGGACTTTTCGTTCCTTATCAACTCCCACTGTATTGTTTTGTTGTATTGCAGTACCAAGAAGAAGAAGATGGCGGATAAGATTCTACCTCAGAGGATCCGGGAGCTGGTGCCAGAGTCTCAGGCCTACATGGACCTGCTGGCGTTTGAGAGGAAGCTGGACCAGACCATCATGAGGAAACGCCTGGACATCCAGGAGGCACTCAAGAGACCCATCAAGGTAAAAAGATGGGGTTAGGTCCTCACTAGGGCCAAGGCCTGTATTCATAAAGCATTTCACAGTAACAGTGCTCATCTAGGATCATTGTTGCCTTTTAGATCCTAATGAATAACATAATATGAACAGGAAGGATTTTATAGGCTACATCTCAAGCCCAGGACTTTTTCCTGATTAACAAGGTGGCCTGACCAGGAAAAGCTCAGGGCCTGACTAGTAGCCCAGAAAAGGCCTGACTAGTAGCCCAGGAAAGGCCTGACTAGTGGCCCAGGAAAGGCCTGACTAGTAGCCCAGGAAAGGCCTGACTAGTAGCCCAGGAAAGGCCTGACTAGTGGCCCAGAAAAGGCCTGACTAGTAGCCCAGAAAAGGCCTGACTATGCCAGAAAGGCTACTATGGCCCAGAAAAGGCCTGCTAGTGGCCCACAGAAAAGGCCTGATAGTGGCAAAAAGCTGACAGTGCCCAGAAGCCTACTAGTGGCCCATCTATAGGCCCAAGTGCCTTATAGTCCTAAGAAAACATACTATGCACCAGGAAGGCTATATTCAAAAAGGCTGACTATCCAAAGCCGGACTTTTTCTCCGATTAAAAGGTGGCTGCACCAGAAAAAGCCCCAGAGGCCTGACTAGTGCCCAGAAAAGGCCTGACTAGTAGCCCAGAAAAGGCCTGACTAGTGGCCCAGGAAAGGCCTGACTAGTAGCCCAGGAAAGGCCTGACTAGTAGCCCAGAAAAGGCCTGACTAGGAGCCCAGAAAGGCCTGACTAGGAGCCCAGGAAAGGCCTGACTAGTAGCCCAGGAAAGGCCTGAGTTTAAATCAAATCTTACATGCTTCATAAACAACAGGTGTAGACTAACAGTGAAATGCTTCCTTATGGCCCTTCCAACAATGCAGACGGAAATAAAATGGAGAAACAATAGAAAAGTAAAAGATGTAATACATGATAAATACACAATGTGTAGCGATAACTTGGCTATAAACATAGTACATAGTATACACAGGGTACCGAGTCAATGTGCAGGGGTACGAGGTAATTGAGGTAGATATGTACAGCACCAGTCAAAAGTTTGGACACACCTACTCATTCAAGGGTTTTTCTTTATTTTTACTATTTTCTACATTGTAGAATAATAGTGAAGACATCAAAACTATGAAATAACACATATGGAAACATGTAGTAACCAGAAAAGTGTTAAACAAATCAAAATATATTTTAAATTTGAGATTCTTCAAATTGCCACGCTTTGCCTTGATGACAACTTTGCACACTCTTGGCATTCTCTCAACCAGCTTCATGAGGAATGCTTTTCCAACAGTCTTGAAGGAGTTCCCACATATGCTGAGCACTTGTTGGCTGCTTTTCCTTCACTCTGCGGTCCAACTCATCCCAAACCATCTCAATTGGGTTGAGGTCGGGTGATTGTGGAGGCCAGGTCATCTGATGCAGCACTCCATCACTCTTCTTCTTGGTCGAATAGCCCTTACACAGCCTGGAGGTGTGTTGGGTCATTGTCCTGTTGAAAAACAAGTGATAGTCCCACTAAGCGCAAACCAGATGGGATGGCGTATCGCTACAGAATGCTGTGGTAGCCATGCTGGTTAAATGTGCCTTGAGTTCTAAATAAATCACAGACAGTGTCACCAGCAAAGCACCATCACACCTCCTCCTCCATGCTTCACGGTGGGAACTACATATGCGGAGATCATCCGTTCACCTACTCTGCGTCTCACAAAGACATGGCGGTTGGAACCAAAAATATCAAATTTGGACTCATCAGCCCAAAGGACAGATTTCCACCGGTCTAATGTCCATTGTTTGTGTTTTCTTGGCCCAAGCAGGTCTCTTCTTCTTATTGGTGTCCTTTAGCAGTGGTTTCTTTGCAGCAAATCGACCATGAAGGCCTGATTCACGCAGTCTCCTCTGAACCGTTGATGTTGAGATGTCTATTACTTGACCCCTGTGAAGCATTTATTTGGGCTGCAATTTCTGATGCTGGTAACTCTAATGAACTTATCCTCTGCAGCAGAGGTAACTCTGGGTCTTCCTTTCCTGTGGCCGTCCTCATGAGAGCCAGTTTCATCATAGCACTTGATGGTTTTTGCGACTGCACTTGAAGAATTTTTCCGTATTGACTGACCTTCATGTCTTAAAGTAATGATGGACTGTCGTTTCTCTTTGCTTATATGAGCTGTTCTTGCCATAATATGGACTTGGTCTTTTACCAAATAGGGCTATCCTCTGTATACCACCCCATACCTTGTCACAACACAACTGATTGACTCAAACGCATTAAGAAGGAAAGAAATTCCACAAATTGACGTTTAACAAGGCACACCTGTTAATTGAAATGCATTCCAGGTGACCACCTCATGAAGCTGGTTGAGAGAATGCCAAGAGTGTGCAAATCTGTCAAGGCAAAGGGTGGCTACTTTGAAAAGCCTCTAGTTGCACACATGACATGCTGGTAGAATTTAGGTAAGACTGATTTAAGTTTTCCTGCATTAAAATCACTGGCCACTAGGAGCGCCGCCTCTGGGTGAGCATTTAATTTTTTGCTTATGGCCCTGTACAGCTCGTTGAGTTCGGTCTTAGTGCCAGCATCGGTTTGTGGTGGTAAATAGACGGCTACGAAAAATATAGTTGAAAACTCGCTTGGCAAATGGTGTATAGCTTATCATGAGGTACTCGAACTCGGTCAACCTTCGAGAATCCCTAATATTAGAGGTTGTGCATCTCAAAAGACAGCTCCTCCCTTGAGCTTACCCACCGCTGCCGGTCTGTCCTGCCGACGCATCGGAAAACCAGGTAGATCTACATTATCCTTGGTCAGCCACGACTCTGTGAAACGTAGGATATTATAGTTCTTCAGGTCCCATTTGATAGGATAGTCTGGAAAGGAGCTTGTCCTGTTCGTTTCTCCAGTGATTGTACATTCACCAAACGAACGGAGGGTAGAGGCGATTTTATGTACTCGCCGACGTCGTTTTGTCAGGGTGCCCGCACGTCGGTCTCTCTTAAGTCTTCTTTTTCGTGTCTCGGGGATTAGGGCCTGGTCCGGGTTGAGTTTTCCCTGATCATCACTTTGCATGTTTGCCTCTGAAGATAACACACATTTTGATAGTGAAATTCAACATTTAATAAACTTTTTGTGTTTCAGCAAAAGCGAAAGCTTCGTATCTTCATATCCAACACTTTCAACCCTGCCAAGCCCGACGCAGAAGATGGGGAGGGTACTGTTGCATCATGGGAGCTGCGTGTCGAAGGGCGCCTGCTTGAAGATGTAAGACTAATTATTAGTTGTATGTTTGTGTGTTGAAGGTTAGTGTCTGTGTGTTTTTATAATTTGGTGAAATGTATCTGATAATTGTTTTCTTTCTCAGACTGCTGTGTCCAAGTATGAAGCCACCAAGCAGAAGAGAAAGTTCTCTTCCTTCTTCAAGTCTCTGGTCATCGAGTTGGACAAGGACCTATATGGGCCTGACAATCACCTGGTCGAGGTAAAAAGATGCGGATTAATGTTCAGTTATAAAAATGTATGATTTTAGATTTATTTTCATTTAAATAGCGCTCAATATTAGCTAATTGCCTCCGCCACTCTTCTTAACCACTTTCTCTGTTGTCGTCTTTGTAATGGATATTCTGTTCTAAAGAAACAAAAAGGACAAATAAAGTTATTTTATATTGTGTAGTGGCACAGGACTGCGACCACTCAGGAGACGGATGGGTTCCAGGTGAAGAGACCAGGTGATGTGGGGGTACGCTGCACTGTTCTGTTGATGCTGGACTACCAGGTAAAAACATACACTATTACACCGAGGACGTTTTCATGCACAGTAATAATTCAATATTAAACGGATTATAGCAGTAGGCAGATGATGCAATAGTCATGTACACGACTTACTCTGCTTATCTTAATCGGCGTAAGGTCAAAATCGAAGTTAAACACCTGGTTTTCTGAGCAATCTTTCAAGTTATTAGGACATGTAAACACCTTAAGCGGAGTTCCAGCGGTGTGTTTGATCTGTGCATATGCTAGCACCAGCCGAGAGCCTCCCCCCTTTAGCCTGGGTGAATTGAGTTCGGAACAAATTAAAGTATGCATCTTAGAAGTCGTTTTCACATACAAACTTTGTCTGAACTCCGAATCAAATATGCTACCCAAAAATAACATGGTCGCTGTGGTAGAACGTCTATTTTGATTGACTACAGTGGGGGGGAAAAGTATTTAGTCAGCCACCAATTGTGCAAGTTCTCCCACTTAAAAAGATGAGAGAGGCCTGTAATTTTCATAATAGGTACACGTCAACTATGACAGACAAATTGAGAAAAAAAAATCCAGAAAATCACATTGTAGGATTTTTAATGAATTATTTGCAAATTATGGTGGAAAATAAGTATTTGGTCAATAACAAAAGTTTCTCAATACTTTGTTATATACCCTTTGTTGGCAATGACACAGGTCAAACGTTTTCTGTAAGTCTTCACAAGGTTTTCACACACTGTTGCTGGTATTTTGGCCCATTCCTCCATGCAGATCTCCTCTAGAGCAGTGATGTTTTGGGGCTGTCGCTGGGCAACACGGACTTTCAACTCCCTCCAAAGATTTATGGGGTTGAGATCTGGAGACTGGCTAGGCCACTCCAGGACCTTGAAACGCTTCTTACGAAGCCACTCCTTCGTTGCCCGGGCGGTGTGTTTGGGATCATTGTCATGCTGAAAGACCCAGCCACGTTTCATCTTCAATGCCCTTGCTGATGGAAGGAGGTTTTCACTCAAAATCTCACGATACATGGCCCCATTCATTCTTTCCTTTACACGGATCAGTCGTCCTGGTCCCTTTGCAGAAAAACAGCCCCAAAGCATGATGTTTCCACCCCCATGCTTCACAGTAGGTATGGTGTTCTTTGGATGCAACTCAGCATTCTTTGTCCTCCAAACACGACGTGTTGAGTTTTTACCAAAAAGTTCTATTTTGGTTTCATCTGACCATATGACATTCCCCAATCCTCTTCTGGATCATCCAAATGCACTCTAGCAAACTTCAGACGGGCCTGGACATGTACTGGCTTAAGCAGGGGGACATGTCTGGCACTGCAGGATTTGAGTCCCTGTCGGCGTAGTGTGTTACTGATGGTAGGCTTTGTTACTTTGGTCCCAGCTCTCTGCAGGTCATTCACTAGGTCCCACCGTGTGGTTCTGGGATTTTTTCTCACCGTTCTTGTGATCATTTTTACCCCACGGGGTGAGATCTTGCGTGGAGCCCCAGATCGAGGGAGATTATCAGTGGTCTTGTATGTCTTCCATTTCCTAATAATTGCTCCCACAGTTGATTTCTTCAAACCAAGCTGCTTACCTATTGCATATTCAGTCTTCCCAGCCTGGTGCAGGTCTACAATTTTGTTTCTGGTGTCCTTTGACAGCTCTTTGGTCTTGGCCATAGTGGAGTTTGGAGTGTGACTGTTTGAGGTTGTGGACAGGTGTCTTATATCAATTTTCAATCAATTTTATTTTATATAGCCCTTCTTACATCAGCTAATATCTCGAAGTGCTGTACAGAAACCCAGCCTAAAACCCCAAACAGCTAGTAATGCAGGTGTAGAAGCAAACCTATATATACTGATAAGACGTTCAAACAGGTGCCATTAATACAGGTAACGAGTGGAGGACAGAGGAGCCTCTTAAAGAAGTTGTTACAGGTCTGTGAGAGCCAGAAATCTTGCTTGTTTGTAGGTGACCAAATACTTATTTTCCACCATAATTTGCAAATAAATTCATTAAAAATCCTACAATGTGATTTTTCTGGATTTTTTTTCTCAATTTGTCTGTCATAGTAGACGTGTACCTATGATGAAAATTACAGGCCTCTCATCTTTTTGTGGGAGAACTTGCACAATTGGTGGCTGACTAAATACTTTTTTCCCCCACTGTATTTTCTGCATTTATCAGAGTGCTATCAGGTCGCCTGATTTCAGATGTGTCCATGGAAACAGGATTATTAGGGACATCGTTCTTCTTGCAAAGCATGTAAACGTTTTAATCTAAATATTATATTAGTCTGACTATCCACAATAATCACATTATTGTGTCCATGTCACCGTACTCACTGTCCTGCTCATGCTGGACTACCAGGTAAAAACACATCCTATTGTTACTGTCCTGCTCATGCTGGACTACCAGGTAAAAACACATCCTATTGTTACTGTCCTGCTCATGCTGGACTACCAGGTAAAAACACATCCTATTGTTACTGTCCTGCTCATGCTGGACTACCGGGTAAAAACACATCCTATTGTTACTGTCCTGCTCATGCTGGACTACCAGGTAAAAACACATCCTATTGTTACTGTCCTGCTCATGCTGGACTACCAGGTAAAAACACATCCTATTGTTACTGTCCTGCTCATGCTGGACTACCAGGTAAAAACACATCCTATTGTTACTGTCCTGCTCATGCTGGACTACCAGGTAAAAACACATCCTATTGTTACTGTCCTGCTCATGCTGGACTACCGGGTAAAAACACATCCTATTGTTACTGTCCTGCTCATGCTGGACTACCAGGTAAAAACACATCCTATTGTTACTGTCCTGCTCATGCTGGACTACCAGGTAAAAACACATCCTATTGTTACTGTCCTGCTCATGCTGGACTACCAGGTAAAAACATAGAAAGTCACAACCTGTCTGGGCCCTAAAAAGGGACCTCTCACATACTTCCTCTAGGTGTCACTAAAGTTTTAAAGACCATATCGAAGTGCTTGCTTCTCAGAATGTGAACAAAGGCGAACAGATTTTTAATACGATTTAATGTTGCTAAAAACGCTCTCAGTTCCACTTTAAATAGCGTCATGTTGATGTTTTGTTCATTTTTTTTTTGTATTGAATTCAATATGAACCAGGTGGTTTTGGCAGCAGGGCAATTTTTCTACACCTCTCCCAAATACATTCTTGTCATTTGAGTCTCTTTTTTTCAAAGAATTTGATGGTGTAATGTCACTGCTAATTTCACTTCTCCACACCCTCCCCTTACCAGCCCCCTCAGTTCAAGTTGGACCCTCGCCTGGCCCGTATGTTGGGGATCCACACCCAGACCAGGCCGGTCATCATCCAGGCCCTCTGGCAGTACGTTAAGACCCACAAGCTACAGGACCCCCACGAGAGAGAGTTCATCAACTGTGACAAGTACCTGCAGCAGGTCAGTGAGCAGCAAGTGTTCCTGTGTAGCTCAGTTGGTAGAGCGTGGCGCTTGTAACGCCAGGGTTGTGGGTTCGATTCCCACGGGGGACCAGTAAGAAACAAGATACAAGGCTTTCTTAGGGAGAGTAGAACCAGTATCTTTTCCCCACGTTTGTATCTAATGTTGAGGCGTTGATATATGACCTGATGGACATATTGTAAAGTGATTTACCATTTCATAATCTTTATGGTTAAGGCTAAGTGGGCCAGTAATATTGTCCTTAACCTAAACACACTGTGGACCTCCAACAAATAGCAATCCTTATTAACTGTCCATAGCTCAAACATACAAAGCACAGTACTGAGTCCTTGCATGTCCAGTTCTTGAGGAAATGAATAAAGTTCTGTTTGTATCTATTTTGTTCTAGATCTTTGAGACCCAGCGTATGAAGTTCTCTGAGATCCCCCAGCGTCTTCATGCTCTCCTGATGCCTCCAGAACCCATCATCATCAACCATGTCATCAGGTAGGACTAACCATAACCTCCAGCAACAACACCTCGCTTACGTCCTCGTCACTAGTGTCAACGCCTCGCTATGTCCTCGTCACTAGGGTCAACGCCTCGCTATGTCCTCGTCACTAGGGTCAACGCCTCGCTTACGTCCTCGTCACTAGGGTCAACGCCTCGCTTACGTCCTCGTCACTAGGGTCAACGCCTTGCTTACGTCCTCGTCACTAGGGTCAACGCCTCGCTTACGTCCTCGTCACTAGGGTCAACACCTCGCTTACGTCCTCGTCACTAGGGTCAACGCCTCGCTATGTCCTCGTCACTAGGGTCAACGCCTCGCTTACGTCCTCGTCACTAGGGTCAACTATCTGTCTCTACAGATAGATCATGCAGCCTTCTATCTTCTCTGTGTCTACAGTGTGGATCCCAACGACCAGAAGAAGACGGCCTGCTACGACATCGACGTGGAGGTTGACGACACTCTGAAGACCCAGATGAACTCCTTCCTCCTGTCCACCGCCAGCCAGCAGGAGATAGCTGGCCTGGACAACAAGGTATGCATGGAGCTCATAGTTGAAGTGTACAGTGGTTCATTTGATCTTCAAGGGTCTGAATCTAGCCTACAACTTATGGTGAGCTATTCTGAGGCTATAAACAGCTTGTTCTTCCACACTCTTTTTCTCTCCTATTGTACAGACGGTGGAAGAGCGAAAAATAGAGGCTCCATTTAAATGTTTTTTTTTTTTTTGTTTGTTTTTTTTATGCTTTGATTGATGCTGCAGCAGGAACTAGGAGCAGACAGGAACAGGCTGTATAGAGAAACTCACTGAACATGAAATCAAACAGACAGCTCTCCCCCAGCAGCCTACTTCAAGTTCAGACTGTTAATACAGACTGAAAAAAAAAAACACAGGATGGACTCTGACACACACACACACACACACACACACACACACCCTGTCAGTAGCATTGGCTGCAGGTCTCATTGCTGTGATTGCGGAGAGAGCAGAGCTGAGGTGACTAGTGCAGGGTCAGAGAGACCCTGGCCAGCTACTGTGACAAAGGCCAAAGAAACACAACAAATGACCTTACGACTGTCACGGTAGGGTTAGGCTACTGAGGAAGGAGCTATAGCTAACATTATATTCTACTACAGAAGTATCAATTTGCATTGTTTAGGGCCCTATTGATTATTATTTTTTGCCTGATTCTGTTTCGTTTTTCCCAAATTCCGTTTAGTTTTTCCCGGTTTCAGTTTTTCCCCAGGTTTTTTCAGGGTTTCGCTCTCAAATGAACACATTTTTATTTGGCCTTAATGCTATTAGGCCATGCAATTTTTTTGTGTATTTTATTAGGAATCCCCATTAGCTGTTGCAAAAGCAGCAGCTACTCTTCCTGGGGTCCACACAAAACATGAAACATGACATAATACAGAACATTAATAGACAAGAACAGCTCAAGGACAGAACTACATCAATTTTAACAAACGCAATGAATAACAGATTCACTACATAGTCCGCCAAAAAAATCAAAAGGACGTTTGTTCTGAATTGTCTGTCCTATAGCTGAGAGGTATGAGAAAGACCAGGATACTGTTGTTTAAAAAAAAAAACATGTATTTAACCCCTTATTCTTGGCACTAAACAGTCTCCAAATATACTTCCATTCATTTTTTTCAACTTGTACTGGGGGACCTTCAGACGAGTCTTGTGAGGCCTGTGGGCGTCCGAGAGAAAAACAACCGACATGTACATGTTTGTGAGTATGTAGCCCAAACTGTTCGGACGCTACAGACAGAAGTTGGCAGTACCGACTTCAGACGAGTCCCAAGACGCTTGTGGGGGCCGTAGAGCAAAACGGAGAACACCATGGTGTTCGTGGGAGTCTCATCTTTCCATAGATGGGTCCTAATAGCTTGTAGACCGTTCGGACACTGTAGACGGTTTTGTGAGAAGACCAATTTTCGGGATGCTTCTGTTCGGCTGGCGCCTAGCCGAACTCGGCTAACCGAACGAGCGTGCTCGCATACTCCCTTAAAATACCTTGCTTCAGAAAAAGCGGTAATAGTAATGTTTGTCCATTTTGAGACACGTAGCCAGTAATAGTCCTCAAAATAGTCAGAATTAATCTAAGATAACTCATGAAATCTGTCATTAATTTTGACGTTTTTTTCCGAAGAGATCTTGGTGCCGGATTTTTCAAGGACACTTTTGCATGAAAACAAGTCCTCTCGTTGAATGACAACCGACTTTATTGAAGAATCCCTACTGTTGACCAATCACCGACGAAGGGGCGTAGACGTCGGCTCCGAACTTCGGCTTGCATCCAGAAACAAATTTGTGTGCCCGAACAGCCGAAAAAACCCTCAGCGAAGTCCAAAACTAACAAAAACGTCACAGAATGTCCGAATATATGCTCAAACTATTTCGGCCGGGAAGCATGCGGATGCCTTAAGACAATACAGTGTATTTAGATGTTGAGCTAGGCTTGACAATCCATCTCTCTTCTTCCCCCTGTAGATCCATGAGACCATAGAGACGATCAACCAGCTGAAGACCCAGAGAGAGTTCATGTTGAGCTTCGCCAGAGACCCCCAGGGCTTCATCAACGACTGGCTGCAGTCACAGTGCCGGGACCTCAAGGTACACACATACAGGGAAACCACTGCTCTATGGGGCATAGTTCAGGATGGAGAGAATGTTCTGGCTGCAGCCACAGTGCAGGGACCTCAAGGTAAACTATGAACCAAACTCTGTTGAACTGGTGCTTCAGGTAAAGAAATGAGAGGCCCCCATGTGTGGGAAGCCACAATATTATGTGTGCAGGCCTCTCTTTTTTCTTTACTGCAAGGTAAACAAAACAGCTCCCTAGTGCTGCCCAGTTACTGATTACCCTTTACAGAATACCTCGCAAAGCATCTGGGTCATGTTCATTAAGAAGAAAATGAACTGAAATGGGGAGGTACTACTTCAACTTCAACACAGAATGTTGTTTTCTTTTGCGAAGCATTTTGCTGTGTGTCTTACTGAACATGGCCCTCTCCTTGTGTAGTCATGGACTTAGTTAGCCATTAACCCTAGTTAGCTGCCATGGACGTATGTTAGCCATTAGCACTAGTTAGCTGCCATGGACGTATGTTAGCCATTAGCACTAGTTAGCTGCCATGGACGTATGTTAGCCATTAGCACCAGCACTGCCTCGGTGTAACGCTCATTCCTTCGACGATAAACGCGAATCCGACCATCACCCCTGGTGAGTCAAAACTGCGACTCGTCAGTGAAGAGCACTTTTTGCCAGTCCTGTCTGGTCCAGCGACGGTGTGTTTGTGCCCATAGGCGACATTGTTGCCGGTGATGTCTGGTGAGGACCTGCCTTACAACAGGCCTACAAGCCCTCAGTCCAGCCTCTCTCAGCCTATTGTGGACAGTCTGAGCACTGATGGAGGGACTGTGCGTTCCTGGTGTAACTCGGGCAGTTGTTGTTGCCATCCTGTACCTGTCCCGCAGGTGTGATGTTCGGATGTACCAATCCTGTGCAGGTGTTGTTACACGTGGTCTGCCACTGCGAGGACGATCAGCTGTCCATCCTGTCTCCCTGTAGCGCTGTCTTAGGCGTCTCACAGTATGGACATTGCAATTTATTGCCCTGGCCACATCTGCAGTCCTCATGCCTCCTTGCAGCATGCCTAAGGCACGTTCACGCAGATGAGCAGGGACCCTGGGCATCTTTCTTTTTGTGTTTTTCAGAGTCAGTAGAAAGGCCTCTTTTTAGTGTCCTAAGTTTTCATAACTGTGACCTTAATTGCCTACCGTCTGTAAGCTGTTAGTGTCTTAACGACCGTTCCACAGGTGCATGTTCATTAATTGTTTATGGTTCATTGAACAAGCATGGGGAAACAGTGTTTAAACTATTTTACAATGAAGATCTGTGAAGTTATTTGGATTTTTACGAATTATCTTTGAAAGACAGGGTCCTGAAAAGGGGACATTTCTTTTTTTTGCTGAGTTTGTTATCCATTAGCACTATTTAGCTACCATGGATGTATGTTATCCATTAGCACTAGCTAGCTATTCCACGTGTAGTGTTTGTTCAGCTGATTCTTGGAGGAGCACCAAACACCACACTGACTGGACTGTCAATGACAACTAAACCAAGGGGTGAATCTAGCTGAATCCAGTCCAAAGTTCATGGCTGTTTCTTGCAGCCTTCCGCATTGTTGCCTGGCGCCCAGTAACCTTGGAGTTGTCCTTATGCAAGAACATGCCAGAGTGAATGAAGATGTGTTTTATGAAGCCTGTCGCATGCTTCCCAGTCAAAACAGTTTGGTCATATATTATGACGAAATTTTGATGTTTTTGTTCGTTTTGGTGTTCGGCTGTTTGTTTGTTTGTTTTGCGGCTGTTCCATCACACAAAGTTATTTCTTGAGGCAAGTCTAAGTTCGGTAGCTGAAATCTACGCCCATTCGTCTGTGATTGATCAACAGTAATACTCCTAGTAGGAGTGGGAACTATGGACGGGATTCTTCAATGAATTGTTTGTTGGCATTCAACGAGAGACAGATTTATCTTAGATTAATTAAGACTATTTTGCTACAGCGTCTCAAGAGGGACAAACCGTAATATTGGCTCTTAAAATTTTTTTTTTAAGCAGAGTTATTTTAAGGGAGTATGCGAGGCACAGACCTTCGCTTCACCTAGCAGAGTTTTGTTAGGAGCAAACCAAACCAAGTATGCTGACGCCTTTTAAACAGAGATGGTCCCAGAGCGGTCTCTTTGACCACAATATTGGGATAGGGTTGATAAGCCTGTTTTTTATGTTGCCTTCTTGCCACAGGTCCACCCTGGTAAAGAGATTTCTGATCTCAATGGAATTTTACTTGTATGGAAAAAAAGATAAAATGCATGCTGTTTATAACACGAAACAACAACAACATTAAAAGCCTACAGGTATAATGTGAAGTGTTTTTTTAAGTTTCTAATGTGTATGCATGATTATCTTTAACAGACTATGACCGATGTGGTTGCGAACCCAGAAGAGGAGAGGAGAGCAGAGTTCTATTTTCAACCGTGGGCCCAGGAGGCAGTGTGTCGCTACTTCTACTCCAAGGTAACGTCCTCGCCACCCACCATTCTGTGTGTATATTGCGTCATTCTACTCCAAGGTAACCTCCTCCTCTCCTGCCATTCATTCCCCATGAAGGGTCATCGTTGCTGAGTCATACCACCAAGTGTTTTTCTGCCCTGCTAAAAAAAAATACTTAAATCATTTATGTGACGTGATTTTCAGTTATGCTTTATTTTACGGTGCTGTTCCCACTGGGTATTACCTGGTATTCCATTCACATATAACACGTGCTCTAATCTGTTCTAAAGTGCTCTATGAAATTGGATTACCATTTCTGAAATGAATATTGTTCTTTTACTGCATTTTAATCTTTAGTCTCTTCTTAATGTTGGTGTTTTTTAAATGTATTTCAGGTCCAACAGAGGCGACAGGAGCTGGAACAAGCCCTGGGAATCAGAAATACCTAGACACGATTACGTCGAAGAAAAGCAGGCCAACAAAGGAAAAGAAGAAGTGGCTGTTCTGTCTGGGAGGAGGAAGAGAAGTGTGGGACATTCATATTTATAAATACGCCCCTGATTTCTTTTTTTTTTTTTTTTTTTTTTCTTTTTTTTGCGAAACGCTTAGATAAACATCTTAGAAATAGACTGCTTTACTGCTGATGGTAACTGTAGGATATATTTTTTTAACGTCAACTAGCAGCTGTTATGGTTATGTATCAATGTTTGATTGCTACTTCCTCTCTTTATATTTTCACTTATTTTCTTTAACTCAAAGCATTCCTTTTCTCTCTCACAAATCACAGATCTTTAATCTATATTCAGGCTTAAGTGAGGTTGAAATGACCCTCAACTAAGAATTGATGCTACTCCACAATAACTAATATTGGGTATTTTAAGCAGAGGGCTTCAATTAAAGTCGTAACATTTGGCCATGGTGAAAGAGCATTGGGTTCATTATAAATGCTTGGACTGTCTACCCCGAGTCCAAACTAACTCATAACTGATCAGGCGATAGCCTACACACACACACTACCATTCTGGCTTTGGTCTGGAATTGATATTCTGTGTTTTGTTTTGTTATTGATAGGGTCGTGTGAGTATTCAGTGGCCTCCTATTGCCCTGCTGGCTGTCCGTTTCATACCAAGATTATTTTAAATGGTTCTAGAATATTGTGTACCTCCCAAAATTCTACTTTAAGAATCGTGTGTGCTTCAAAATTCTCCTCCGAACACTTCGAAGCATGGTGATGGCAGGCACGGCTGCACAATGTTGTGTAGGTTCAGCATATTGGTTTAGTTAATCATTTAAGTGGCCGTTTTAATTTGAAACTATTTTTGTGGAGCTTTTGTTTTTTGTATTAAAAAATGTTTTTCTCGAAAGTATGAATTTATATGAAGACTTGTTAGTTATAAGTAAATAATATTAAGGAAGTAGTGTTAGTAGTAATTACCTCAAGTCTATCTAGTTTAGTAAATAATGAGCGGAACAATCTGATTGTGAAGGAAAAATGTCTCTGTTTAAATGGACATACCATCATTTTGACTCATTGTCTAATACTCCGTTTGCCCAAGACGTTCCCCTTCAAGTGAACACAATGGTTTAATCCAGAGCATTCTCTATCACCTAGCAGCAAGCTGCAGTTGCTTGTTGGTCCTGTGTGGAAGAGGGAGAACAATGTTCAGGGTTCTACTGTTAGGTTAAGATGAATTCCTCTGGGTTTTCCTCTTTTTATTTGTTAGTGTGCAGAAGCTATCAACACCTGAGGAAGAGAAGCGTAGAGCTGGGTTCACTTCTAGATGTGACATATTCATGAATTTGACCTTTTTTTTTGCAAGTATGATAGAAAGCTTTACGCCTGTAGGTGTTGCTGTTTAGATATGACATGTAAAGGATGTAAGAAGTTTTATGGTTGGGCTCAATTCAGTATCAGTTCAGTAGTCAAGTGAATTGAAATAAAGTGGGGATTTTTTTCAATATTGAGTGTAATTTCAATCAATGCTCTGATTATCCTGAGTTGACCCCAAACCTGTAAAGGATGATACTGAAGACTGATTTAATATTCAGACATTAATTGTATTTTTATTTCATTGGACCAAACCTATTTTTTTCCCCTGTATGTTTTAACCCTATGCTATAATAAAGGACATCTTCAATGATAACTTTTCGGTTGTGAATGGATTATTTTAAAGTTTATAACCATTCGATGGCCAAACTGGCAGTCTTTCCGTGAAAGATGTTACCTGTCTAGTGCTCACCTCAGCATCACAGTTTAATTCTGGGGTTCTTATAAGAAACACGCACACTTGTGTCATTGGTGTGAGAAGTGAGGTGATGTAGGAGGGGGTCTAGTTTTAACAACCAGGGGAACGATCTGGTCATTGACCTGAAGCTGAGCATATCGTGTTCATAGGGCCAGGAGTTTAGACATATCTATTGCTTCACTTAACCTTTGCTCTTGACATTATCCTAATCATACTAGGTCATAGCCTCACCTCTCCAAACGGCGAGGTCTGCTAAAGCATAAGATTTGAGACTCCTTCCTAATGCGAAATGTTGTTTGTAACGTGATTTAGAGAAGGGTCCTCTTCGAGCTGGTCTGACCCGGACTGCGCTAACCAATAACTACGAGGGGGCGAGACCGGGACTGCTAGCCCACGTGCCAGGTATAAATACGGTTTGTCTCGGTTCAGGCGCGTCTCGCACCAAGCACTTCAGGAGGAGCAGCAGACGTCGTGTCGCACTGTACATCATGGCACCCAAGAAAGTATGCATCATTGGCTCTGGCAACTGGTAGGCACTTTTTTTAAATGTTCATTTATTCTAAAGATATTTAGCTCTTTCTGAGCTGATGATGCAGAATGATCTTACTGTACTGTACACGAGAGGGCAGTTTTTGCATGTCAGTGGTTTTCAAATGCCTCGCTTAAGGGACTGTAATTTAAATCGGCAATGACACTATCTTTGTGTCAGTTTGTAGGCTATAGAAGTGAAGCTGTGCGAATGTATTGAGTTTATTTAGCTCGATGTGAAAAAGATGACAGTTTGAAGATAGGCCTGCAGCAAACTGCTGTAGCGCTCTTCGTGTTGGATTTCCCCTGCTTTCCTTGTTGCCTTATCAGACTAATAATAATAAGACTTGTATTGTCTCAATCGGGCCTATGGTGATAATAATGCAACATAACTGGGGCAAATATCAGAATTTAATTTATGATCTCAATATAGTTTATTTCATCTAATAGAATCGCTGGATTATTGACGTTTCAGCCACAGTGACTGCACAGGATGTTTGGCTCATGTAGAATGCAGTTCTACTCCGTATAGTTTCACACACAAACGTGCTGATATTAACCATATTATGTGAAAAATGTAAATGTAATGAAGTTGAAGCCTGGTGGTGGTATGTCCAGCAGCCATGCTGCAATGACAACAAACGCTTTGAACTGCTGCACGGCAGGGCCTTGGATTTACTTCCTCGGGAATGCTCTTATGTTCTCCTGAGGTTGTGCTGTGTTGCATTGTGTTGTTATGTTGGCTACTAGTACAATGGGGGAAAGTTGCTGAATCAATATTGAGTTGTCTGATCTTTAAAATATCACTTTTGCCTCATTGACTGGTGTAAAATAATGTTTGATTAAGCACTACTGTGCCATTACACTCATTAGGTGTGATGTATATTCATTATAAACAGTGTATGTTAATTATTGACTCAATAATAATTTATGAGTCCACTTTTTAAAGTATGCATTATGGCATTCTTTTTTCTGATCTCTCTCCAGCATCTGTTACTTAATATTTGGTGCTAGAAAGCTTAACTGATTGGCAGCAGTGAGAGACAAGCGTCACTAAACCAAATACTATTGCAAGACATTCAACATTCTAACATCTCACTGCTAGCCTGTTTATCTCTCAGAGTGGGAATACCTCACTGGGTTTTGCACCCTGCTTTAATACTAGTGTGAAGTCTATCGTCCTCCTTCAATTTAAGTAATCTCCTAAGATCCTAAAATGTGGAGAACAGGAATGAAACAATAGGATTGTTTGAAAGTGACACACGTTTAACTTCTACAGGGGCTCTGCCATTGCCAAGATTGTGGGCGCCAACACAGGAAAGCTTGACGTGTTCGACACGACAGTGAACATGTGGGTGTTTGAGGAGACAGTGAATGGACGTAAACTCACAGAGATCATCAATACAGACCATGAGAACGTCAAGTACCTGCCCGGACACAAGCTGCCCCCCAACATCGTAAAACTCATTCATTTCAAGCGTTCAAAATGCTCTGAAGAAATTGTGTATTCATAATTTTAGAAGTAACCCAGTACCAAATCTCTTGTGCAGCTAACATTTTTTTTTTTTTTTCTTACAGTTTGTCACGATAGAAATCACGACAATGCATGTATCACCTTTTCGGTTCAATAAAAAACGGATCGATTATTACCTGATTATTAACAACCTTTAGATTTAAGTCTGCCACACGTCATCCGATGAATCTGTCTTCCCCGTGTAGGTGGCCGTTCCAGAGGTGAAGGATGCTGTGAAGGGAGCAGACATCCTGATCTTCGTTATTCCACACCAGTTCATCAACAGAATCTGTGACACCATCAGAGAACACATCAAGAAGGATGCTGTGGGCATGTCTCTTATCAAGGTGAGTGGCTTTGCTTTCAGGGCCTGTTTGAATAATAAGGCCAGATGTTCAAATCACTACCTCAATAGAGCAGCAGCAGCAAACTATTGACTTTTTGAAAGGGCAAACTTCTGATTGAATTTACAGCATCGAATACTGCTGCTTCTAATTGTTGCTTGTTGCTGTAGATAGGATGATGAGGCTGACCTACGTTCCAGGTGATCTGTTGTTGTAGGATGTTGATGAGGGAGATAATGTTAATAGATGTATTACATTTACATTTTAGTCATTTAGCAGACGCTCCTATCCGGAGCGACTTACAGGAGCAATTAGGGTTAAGTGCCTTGCTCAAGGGCACATCGACAGATTTTTCACCTAGTCGGCTCGGGGATTAGAACCAGCGACCTTTCGGTTACTGGCACAACGCTCTTAACCACTCAGCTTCCTGCCGCCCAGGCAGGCGCGTCTCGCACCAAGCACCAAGATGTATCCGTGGGGATCTATGTTTCAGGGTGTGGATGAGGGTCCCGAGGGGTTGAAGCTGATCTCTGATGTCATCAGAGAGAAGCTGGGTATCACCATGACAGTGCTGATGGGAGCTAACATAGCCAACGAAGTCGCAGAGGAGAAATTCTGCGAAACAACAATCGGTATGGGGTGTTTTGTGTGTTTTGGTTGTTTTGGGAAATAGAACACAGTATATCTCTTCCATTAAAATAGCTCATGTCAATGCTTTTGTGCTACATACAGTGGGGGAAAAAGTATTTAGTCAGCCACCAATTGTGCAAGTTCTCCCACTTAAAAAGATGAGAGAGGCCTGTAATTTTCATCATAGGTACACGTCAACTTTGACAGACAAATTGAGGAAAAAAAATCCTGAAAATCACATTGTAGGATTTTTTATGAATTTATTTGCAAATTATGGTGGAAAATAAGTATTTGGTCACCTACAAACAAGCAAGATTTCTGGCTCTCACAGACCTGTAACTTCTTCTTTAAGAGGCTTTTAACTTTTTGGTAAAAACTCAACTCGTCGTGTTTGGAGGACAAAGAATGCTGAGTTGCATCCAAAGAACACCATACCTACTGTGAAGCATGGGGGTGGAAACATCATGCTTTAGGGCTGTTTTTCTGCAAAGGGACCAGGATGACTGATCCGTGTAAAGGAAAGAATGAATGGGGCCATGTATCGTGAGATTTTGAGTGAAAACCTCCTTCCATCAGCAAGGGCATTGAAGATGAAACGTGGCTGGGTCTTTCAGCATGACAATGATCCCAAACACACCGCCCGGGCAACGAAGGAGTGGCTTCGTAAGAAGCATTTCAAGGTCCTGGAGTGGCCTAGCCACTCTCCAGATCTCAACCCTATAGAAAATCTTTGGAGGGAGTTGAAAGTCCGCGTTGCCCAGCGACAGCCCCAAAACATCACTGCTCTAGAGGAGATCTGCATGGAGGAATGGGCCAAAATACCAGCAACAGTGTGTGAAAACCTTGTGAAGACTTACAGAAAACGTTTGACCTGTGTCATTGCCAACAAAGGGTATATAACAAAGTATTGAGAAACTTTTGTTATTGACCAAATACTTATTTTCCACCATAATTTGCAAATAAATTCATTAAAAATCCTACAATGTCATTTTGTCTGTCATAGTTGACGTGTACCTATGATGAAAATTACAGGCCTCTCTCATCTTTTTAAGTGGGAGAACATGCACAATTGGTGGCTGACTAAATACTCTTTTTCCCCACTGTAAGTAAAGATCAATGCATTTCATGATATGGTATTGAAGATATTTCATGTGTAATAATTATCCATGTTTGTATTCGTCACACAGGGTGCAAGAACAAGGAGTGGGGCCCCATCCTGAAACAACTGATGCAGACCGTTAACTTCAGAGTTACTGTGGTGGAAGAGGCTGATGTGGTAGAGATCTGTGGCGCTCTCAAGGTGGGCCTTTAGTTACGCAGGAAGGAGAGGAAAAAGTACACAATGTTCTAACTAGGAATCATAAAAGTGAAGGAGGAAACATACACTGAGGATGTAAGGCAAAATGCTGCCGATCGTGTGTGTGTAATAATATGTTCTCAATGTAATATAACAGACGTGTTTTGGTCATGCGACCATCCATTAGTGTCAGAGAATCTTTCAAAGACAAAATGCTTTTAGATTGATATTTTCAGATGAGATCATATATGGTTTAACAGCTCTTCCTCTCCCTTCCCAGAACATAGTGGCGGTGGGAGCAGGGTTCTGTGACGGCCTGGGCTTCGGTGATAACACCAAGGCAGCGGTGATCAGACTGGGACTGATGGAGATGATCGCCTTCGCCCGGATATTCTGCACCGCTGGACCCGTCTCCCCCGTCACATTCCTGGAGAGCTGCGGCGTCGCCGACCTCATCACAACTTGCTACGGGGGACGCAACCGCAAGATCGCAGAGGCCTTCGCCAAAACCGGAAAGGTGCGGTGAGGAGTGTGGGGGAAAAGTGTGTCATACAAGGGTTATTGCTGTCGTTGATATTCTAAATGTCAAGATTTGTCTGTCTTTCTCTCTCTCACTTCGCTCTCATGTGTCCCCTCTCTATATATCTCTTTCTTTCTTATCTCTCTCTCTCACTCAATCTCTCTGTTTTGTGTCTCCCTGTGTAGACAATTGAGGAGTTGGAGAAGGAGATGTTGAATGGTCAGAAACTCCAGGGTCCAGCTACTGCAGCTGAAGTCAACCACATTCTGAAGAAGAAGGGCCTGGTGGACAAGTGAGTTACAGTTGATGAGTTTGACGTCAGAATCTTCTGAGAGCGAGTTATGTTCTTAATTGAACATCTGAATGACATGTATAAGCCACTCTTATAGCCTTTTCACACTACTGAGCCAAACTGAGCCGAACCAAGCCATTGTTGCTGGAACTGAGCCGGAATGGACAATGTGAAAAGAGTGTATACAATACCAGTCAAAAGTTTGGAAACACCTACTCATTCAAGGGTTTTTCTTTATTTTTACTATTTTCTACATTGTAGAATAATAGTGAAGACATCATCAAAACGATGAAATAACACATATGGAATCATGTATTAACCAAAAAAAGTGTTAAACAAATCAAAATATATTTTATATTTGAGATTCTTCAAAGTAGCCACCCTTTGCCTTGATGACAGCTTTACACACTCTTAGCATTCTCTCAACCAGCTTCATAAGGTAGTCACCTGGAATGCATTTGAATTAACTGGTGTGCCTTGTTAAAAGTTAATTTGTGGAATTTTTTTCCTTCTTAACCTCTACTGGATGGGTGTCCCGAAATCGGGACAGTTGTTGCTCAATACGGATAATGTGACTACAATGACGTTTTAAACAAAAGCACATTTTCACGGACATATACATGTCTTATATGGGGAGAAAGCTTAAATTATTGTTAATCAAACTGCAGTGTCTAATTTACAGTAGGTATTACAGCGAAAAAATGCCATGCTATTGTTTGAAGAACAGCTCAAATAAGCAAAGAGAAATGACAGTCCATCAGTACTTTAAGACATGAAGGTCAGTCAATCCGGAGAATTTCAAGAACTTTGAACGTTTTTTCAAGTGCAGTCGCAAAAACCATCAAGCGCTATGATGAAACTGGCTCTCACGGGGACCGCCATAGGAAAGGAAGACCCAGAGTTACCTCTGCTGCGGGGGATACGTTCATTAGAGTTAAATGCACCTCAGATTGCAGCCCAAATAAATGCTTCACATAGTTCAAGTAACAGACACATCTCAACATCAACTTTTCAGAGGAGACTGCGTGAATCAGGCATTCATGGTCGAATTTCTGCAAAGAAACCACTACTAAAGGACACCAATAAGAAGAGGAGACTTGCTTGGGCAAGAAACACGAGCAATGGACATTAGACCAGTGGAAGTCTGTCCTTTGGTCTGATAAGTCCAAATTTGAGATTTTTGGTTCCAACCGCCATGTCTTTGTGAGACGCAGAGTAGGTGAATGGATGCTCTCCACATGTGTGGTTCCCACCGTGAAGCATGGAGGAGGTGTGATGGTGTGGGGGTGCTTTGCTTGTGACACTGTCTGTGATTTATTTAGAATTCAAGGCACACTTAACCAGCATGGCTACCACAGCATTCTGCAGCAATACACCATCCCATCTGGTTTGCGCCAATTTGTTTTTCAACAGGGCAATGACCCAAAACACACCTCCAGGCTGTGTAAGGGCTATTTGACCAAGGGGAGTGATGGAATGCTGCATCAGATGACCTGGCCTCCACAATCACCTGACCTCAACCCAATTGAGATGGTTTGGGATGAGTTGGACCGCAGAGTGAAAGAAAAGCAGCCAACAAGTGCTCAGCATATGTGGGAACTCCTTCAAGACTGTTGGAAAAGCATTCCTCATGAAGCTGGTTGAGAGAATGCCACGAGTGTGCAGAGCTGTCATCAAGGCAAAGGGTAGCTACTTTGAAGAATCTAAAATATATAAAATATATTTTGATTTGTTTAACACTTTTTTGGTTACTACATGATTCCGTATGTGTTATTTCATCGTTTTGATGATGTCTTCACTATTATTCTACAATGTAGAAAATATTTTAAATAAAGACAAACCCTTGAATGAGTAGGTGTGTCCAAACTTTTGACTGGTAGTGTATACTGTAAGCCAGCACAGGACGGTTTGGGGTTGGCCCTTTGGTGTGATTCAGGCATTTTTGTTTTAACACTAAAACTGTTATCCCCTCTTTCCTCCCTCCAGGTTCCCCTTATTCAATGCTGTCAACCAGATCTGTTTCCACGGACACCCCGTCAAAGAGTTCATCAGTTGTTTGCAGAACCACCCTGAACACATGTAACTGACTGAGGGATGCTCGGATGCTTTTAAATGTTGGAACCAGCCGAAGGAAGCAAGGCTGACGAGGAGCAGGTTGGACGATGATTCCACCTCATCTAGGTGTCTAAATACTAAGAAACGGAGCGGACAACAAAACACCTCAGAAAGAAAACATCTCAGTCAAACCTACCTCTGGTCCTGGGCTACTGTAATATGCCCACTACAATATCATCAAAATACCTCCTGTTCCAACTGATTCTTAAGTTATTATTGATGATGTTGCCCACTAGGTAATGTTTCAGTAAAGTTCTGTGTTGAAATGTTCCTGAAATGCATTTTGTTTAGAAGAATGTCCCTCGGCCTTAAACAGTTGAATTGTCTTCTGGGAAGGGGAAGGGTATGTCTTTAGTTGTCTTAAAAATCTCCCTTTTTCCACATGAGAATGGCAGCAGATATTTTGTGTAAGTTGCATTTTCCATAGTCGGCAATCCCACACAAAAACACGTGAAAGAAGTGCCTTAACATGCCTTTTGACCCAGTCACTGGTAAATATTTGTCTTGCAAACAGATTTTGTTACCTTGTTATGTTGAATAAAAAAAAACTTGATTAAACAACCATTATTCACCGCTTATCCCTGGTTAAAGCCTTATGTCCTCTTTACTGAAGTAGCCTATTGCTTATATGAATGGATGACATTCATTTAGGAATCAATTGTTCAAATAATTCACCCTTAATGTGGGCTGAATATACAGCACAGTACTACAGTTTTTGAAATTGGCCGTGCTAGGCCTACAGTCAGTAGTTTGCAGATGACCTTTCCACAAATGCATGCTGTGCTCTCAACATCCCTCAATGAAACCTGACCTGAATCTGACTAGCCTGCTACCCTAAACTCTTCACCTTTACCATTTTCTAGATTGACAACTGCAACCTTTCTCTCTGCTGAGAAGTGGATCTCACATGGTGCTCTGAATTGATGGGAGAGAAGACTTGGGCCTGTGCTATGTTCCAATAGATTAAATTATGATAATATCTTGTTTTGGAGCATCGGAATCAGTACACACATGATTTGAAACTTACCAGAAATTACTTCAATATTTGATGAAGCAGTTTACTCAGGAAAACCTCCGGGACATTATATAAATCCTAGTGTATTCCGATTTTAATTTATTCAGAATAGTCTGTTATGGTTAGAAATTAAACTATGCGAAGATGCTACAGTGGGGAAAGAAAGTATTTAGTCAGCCACCAATTGTGCAAGTTCTCCCACTTAAAAAGATGAGAGAGGCCTGTAATTTTCATCATAGGTACACGTCAACTATGACAGACAAATTGAGAATTTTTTTTCTCCAGAAAATCACATTGTAGGATTTTTTATGAATTTATTTGCAAATTATGGTGGAAAATAAGTATTTGGTCACCTACAAACAAGCAAGATTTCTGGCTCTCACAGACCTGTAACTTCTTCTTTAAGAGGCTCCTCTGTCCTCCACTCGTTACCTGTATTAATGGCACCTGTTTGAACTTGTTATCAGTATAAAAGACACCTGTCCACAACCTCAAACAGTCACACTCCAAACTCCTCTATGGCCAAGACCAAAGAGCTGTCAAAGGACACCAGAAACAAAATTGTAGACCTGCACCAGGCTGGGAAGACTGAATCTGCAATAGGTAAGCAGCTTGGTTTGAAGAAATCAACTGTGGGAGCAATTATTAGGAAATGGAAGACATACAAGACCACTGATAATCTCCCTCGATCTGGGGCTCCACGCAAGATCTCACCCCGTGGGGTCAAAATGATCACAAGAACAGTGAGCAAAAATCCCAGAACCACACGGGGGGACCTAGTGAATGACCTGCAGAGAGCTGGGACCAAAGTAACAAAGCCTACCATCAGTAACACACTACGCCGCCAGGGACTCAAATCCTGCAGTGCCAGACGTGTCCCCCTGCTTAAGCCAGTACATGTCCAGGCCCTTCTTAAGTTTGCTAGAGTGCATTTGGATGATCCAGAAGAGGATTGGGAGAATGTCATATGGTCAGATGAAACCAAAATATAACTTTTTGGTAAAAACTCAACTCGTCGTGTTTGGAGGACAAAGAATGCTGAGTTGCATCCAAAGAACACCATACCTACTGTGAAGCATGGGTGTGGAAACATCATGCTTTGGGGCTGTTTTTCTGCAAAGGGACCAGGACGACTGATCCGTGTAAAGGAAAGAATGAATGGGGCCATGTATCGTGAGATTTTGAGTGAAAACCTCCTTCCTTCAGCAAGGGCATTGAAGATGAAACGTGGCTGGGTCTTTCAGCATGACAATGATCCCAAACACACTGCCCGGGCAACGAAGGAGTGGCTTCGTAAGAAGCATTTCAAGGTCCTGGAGTGGCCTAGCCAGTCTCCAGATCTCAACCCCATAGAAAATCTTTGGAGGGAGTTGAAAGTCCGTGTTGCCCAGCGACAGCCCCAAAACATCACTGCTCTAGAGGAGATCTGCATGGAGGAATGGGCCAAAATACCAGCAACAGTGTGTGAAAACCTTGTGAAGACTTACAGAAAACGTTTGACCTGTGTCATTGCCAACAAAGGGTATATAACAAAGTATTGAGAAACTTTTGTTATTGACCAAATACTTATTTTCCACCATAATTTGCAAATAAATTCATAAAAAATCCTACAATGTGATTTTCTGGATTTTTTTTCTTCTCATTTTGTCTGTCATAGTTGACGTGTACATATGATGAAAATGACAGGCCTCTCTCATCTTTTTAAGTGGGAGAACTTGCACAATTGGTGGCTGACTAAATACTTTTTTCCCCCACTGTATATATTCTCAAATTTGTGAAGATGCCATTATGCCAAAATCCTGATGTGAATTTGAAAGTAGGACATGCGAGGACAAGGACAAGGTTTGTGAGCAAATTACTAGCTTGTTTAGTAGTATAATAGATAGACTAACAGAAGTAGCTTTTTTTCTGACAACAGTTAGAAAACAGTTCAACAACAGTTGAAAACAACAGTTCAGCAGTTGCCCAGTTCAAAAGGGTTAAGAGGTAAGATATCAATTTGCCAATGTTACGTAGTAAGTAGGCTATCATTTGATTCCCTAGTTGACATGGTTTGCATATTTACTGAGTCAGTGTCCTAATAATAGCTATTCTCCATCGGGCAAAGGTGGAAGTTGAACTATATTTAGTATAGGGCTCAGTGTAGATTGCCGTGGACCAGGGAGCGACTGCTCTGATGTCCATCACAACATTAACTGCCCTATCAGATATGATACTTACAGTCATGCGTGCATACATTTTTAGGTATGGGTGGTCCCGGGGATTGAACCCACTACCCTGGCGTTACAAGCGCCATGCTCTACCAATTGAGCTACAGAGGACCACAATTCATCCCAAAGGTGTTCGATGGGGTTGAGGTTAGGGCTCTGTGCAGGTCAGTCAAGTTCTTCCACACCGATCTCGACAAACCATTTCTGTATGGACCTCGCTTTGCGCACGGGGGCGTTGTCATGCTGAAACAGGAAAGGGCCTTCCCCAAACTGTTGCCACAAAGTTGATAGCACAGAATCGTCTAGAATGTAATTGTATGCTGTAGTGTTAAGATTTCCCTTCACTGGAACTAAGGGGACTTGCCCGAACCATGAAAAAAAGGCCCCAGATCAATATTCCTCCTCCACCAAACTTTACAGTTGGCACTATGCATTGGGGCAGGTAGCATTCTCCTGGGCATCAGCCAAACCTAGATTAGTCCGTTGGACTGCCAGATGGTGAAGCGTGATGCATCACTCCAGAGAATGCGTTTCCACTGCTCCAGAGTCCAATGGCGGCGAGCTTTACACCACTCCAGCTGATGCTTGGCATTGTGCATGGTGATCTTAGGCTTGTGTGCGGCTCCTCTGCCAAGAAACACATTTCGTGACGCTCCCGACTAACAGTTCTTGTGCTGACGTTGCTTCCAGAGGCAGTTTGGAACTCGGTAGTGAGTGTTGCAACCGAAGACGGATGATTTTTAGGCGCTACGCGCTTCAGCACTCGCCGGTCCCGTTCTGTGAGCTTGTGTGGCCTACCACTTCGCGGCTGAGCCGTTGTTGCTCCTAGACGTTTCCACTTCACAATAACAGCACTTACGGTTGACCGGGGCAGCTCTAGCAGGGCAGAAATTTGACGAACTGACTTGTTGGAAAGGTGGCCATCCTATGACGGACGGTGCCACGTTGAAAGTCACTGAGCTCTTCAGTAAGGCCATTCTACTGCCAACGTTTGTCTATGGAGATTGCGTGGCTGTGTGCTCAATTTTATACACCTGTCAGCAACGGGTGTGGCTGAAATAGCCGAATCCACTAATTTGAAGGGGTGTCCACATACTGTTGTATATATAGTGTATATACAGCCAAATGCATATCCTCACAGACCATTTTGTTTATGTTCATTTCCCCCCTCCAGTCTATTTGCAGGAGTATCTCATCTATCTTTACTAGTTTCAAGTGTTATTGTCACATGCACAAGTACAGTGACATTCTTAACTTGCAAGCCCTTCCCAGCTGTGCAGTGTTCACTATCAAAATAGTATAACTTAAAAAACTAAGAAAGAAAGGATATAAAAAGCATGAGAATGTAAGCTATATGGGTCAGTGCCAGTAACACATTTACAATGTGCAGTGATACTGGAGTAATTTGAGGTAGATATGTACAAAGTGACTGGTAGCAAGATAAATCATAATAATAGTCAACAGTATGGCAGGAGCATAAGTGGTGAGTGTGTGTGTGTGTGTGTGTGTGTGTTTTTGGAAGAGTGTCAGTGTAGCTGTGTCTGTTTGTTTGGGTAGAGACCTGTGAGTGTGCCTATAGTCAGTGCATATAGTCAGTGGTGGGGGTGGACAGCTATTGGTCCATCTGTTTAAAAGCTTGAGGGCAGAAGCTGTCTCGGAGCCTGTTGGTCCGAGACCTCATAGTCTGGTACCACCTGCCGGACGGAAGCAGAGAGAACAGTGTATGGCAGGGGTGGCTGAAGTCGTTGACATTTTTCGGGCCTTCCTCAGACACCGCTTGGTGTGTATGTTCTGAATGGCTGGGAGCTCTGTAGGGCCTTGTGGACGAGGGCGGTGCAGTTGCCGTACCAGGCGGTGATGCAGCCAGTCAAGATACTCTCAATGGTGCATCTGTGGAAGTTATTGAGGATCTGAGGGACCATGCCAAATCTCTTCAGCCTATCCATATATTATTTTACTGGTTGTTTTCAACATGCAGTAGCATAACCCAATGGGAGTGGGTGTTATTAGACATAAGACATTTTATTACACAGTTATTGTGCTATTATTATCATACTGTATTTAGATGACATTTCAGAATGTCTCCTTTGCAATGACCGCTTGGTGGTGCCATCTTGTAAAGTGAACTCTGGCGGTGGGTTCAAGATGACGATATAAAACTTGCTCTGGTGTAATTTTCATTATACAATTGTTCTACATACATACATTATACATTCACTGATATTCATCACAAAATGTCTCATCACTGATCATTATTGCTAGTATCTTATTACGATAAGAAAGACACTAGTCTATATGGTTGGAAAAGTAACGGTAAAGAATCCATCAATATTTCCACAGTTTATAAACCCAGAGGCGCAACATTGCTAGACTTCCGGGAACGCTTGCGAAACAGACCAAGCAGACCAGGCCAGGGTTTGGAATTTGCGAAGTTAATTTTCTCGAAATCTAAAGGCACAGCCTAGATTCTAGCCAATGTCTTAAGTACATTTTACATTTTTAGTCATTTAGCAGACGCTCTTATCCAGAGCGACTTACAGTTAGTGAGTGCATACAGTTTCATACTGTAGTTGAACTGTAGTTGAACATGTTATTACTCCAACCTCGTGAAAGTGACAAACTGACACGTTTTCATTTTCGTCAAAAACAACTTTATATTGAAGGAGTGCCTTTGATTTTACGAGACGATGACGTTTCTGCGCATGCGCTTAGCTAGCCAACGTCGCCATGACATCGCGTTATCAGGGAGAAGCAGTTTCTCCCTATTTTCATACCACACGTAGAACAATGACACAGATACTTCACCAGATGTATACATGTGAAGCATCCACTTGGCGTTTCCACTCACTACCAAATTTGGTAGTGAGAGGAAGCCCAGTGGCCGGCAATGGGGGAAGACGGAACGAGATGGATTTTGGCCGACATTCTGCAAATTTTCTCGTCGATGAAACATTTGATCTCAATACAGGTTTTTCTTCCCAAAACCAGTATATGTTACGAACAGAGTGGACTATGTTTTGTAGACTTTACCCTTTGTCAAAGTTTGAAAAAATCGCGTTGTTTAGAAGGAGTGCAAAGGCGAATTGAGTTGTTGCACACGCGCACTTCACAGAGTAGGCGTTCCCTAACGGAAATATGCAAATATTGCTCAAACGCGCCAATAGGATCTCGCTAGCTCGTGCTATGGCTCTGCCCACCTTCTCGTTTGTTCTGCCCACTATGACGCGTTTGTTCCCATTGGAAACGACAAGCTGTGTTCTTTATAGTTTAATAATAATCTTTGTTCATACTGTACTGTCTTTGATGATACCTCCGTGAATAGCGGGAGGTGAGGCCCGTTTCACTTCCTCAATCCAACAACAGTTCCATCACTGGCACAAAACGTTTCTGGACTCATCCAACACTCGATCCTCAAAGGAGGGGGTGGTGGAAACGTTTCCCTCGTTTTTTTTTCTCTCCTTAGGATACATTTCTTAAATCGAAGCCACACTTTTGGTGATCATGGCTGCTCTTTCAGTATGGTTTTGGAACGAAAGGTTCTGGCTCCCGCATAATGTGACTTGGGCGGATCTTGCAGACCCAGCGCCTGGGGTGGAGTATCCAAAAGCCAGGCACTTGCTCTCTGCCTTACCGCTGGCTTTGGGGATCTTTGCTGTCAGAATACTATTTGAGAGGTACGCACTATCTGCTTTTCGAAGTCATGTTATCATTACTTTCATCATCTCTTTCTTGAAGATACCACTCGCCCCAGCCGTACCAGGATATTTGCACGCACGAGTCTTCGATTGAAAAAGAAAATGACCTGCAGTCATAATTTATTGGGGTTTGGCCCATAGAATTAGGAAATACTTTAATAGTATCTCTGGTTTGCCCACCCATGTCAGCCTAATGCTAGTTAAGCGAACCTCTGGCTGCTTGCCACTTCTTGGGCAGGGGTCGGTGAATAAAAAGAGACGTGATGGTATCTCAATGTAATCAAGTTAGGAAATGATTGTTATTTTCAAATACAACCAATTTTTTTGGGCTTACTTGTGGTCAATTTGAGTGTACAAATTATTATAATTATGTTCCGGCCCCTATACCATCCGCTCGGACAAAAATTGGCCGCGTCAAAATCTAGTTGCCTACCCCTGTCCTAGTGAGAGCACTGGGGCAATCCAACTCATACAAAGCATCTAACAATAGATAACGAAAATAAGCTCATTATCCTTTGATATAATATCTTTGGCCGACAGTAACAGTACAACAACTTGATGACAAATTTTGCAGACAGTTCTCAGGGCTGGCCTATGGCCTGTATTGTCAGGTCAGTTATTACAAAGTTATTCACTTTAGAAAGCACACCAACAATCTCCAGTCTAGGTTGCCTTTAATTCAAACCATGCTCAGCAATCATGTGTATAGATATGGGTGGCGAGTAAAACAGTTATAAACTGGTTATAACAGACCCTTGTCACTGACACAGCAGGGCTGCAGGATTACAAATCAATCAGGATCACCAGTACTAATGACACCTGTCCTGTCACTCCACCCATCCATACATAAAGAGCTTATCATCATTACCAAACAGCTTCAGGCCTGGTTGGGGACCGACATACAGTGTATAGCCTTGCCCAGGTCTCTCCAACCCTGTTCCTGGAGAGCTACCGTCCAGTAGGTTTTCGCTCCAACCCTAATCTAGCACACCTGATTCTAATGATTAGCTAGCTGATAAACTGAATCAGGTTAATTACAGATGGGATTGGAGTGAAAACCTACAGGAGAGTAGCTCTCCATGAACAGGGTTGCAAAACCCTGCCCTAGCCCATGTATCATGGGTTGGGACTTGTCACATCCACATGGAAACTAGGCCTATTTGTTATTTACATTGTAGTCATTTAGCAGACACTCTTATCCAGAGGGACTTACAGTTAGTGCATACATCATTATTTTTTTCATACTGGCACCCCGTGGGAATCAAACCCACAACCCTGGCGTCGCAAACGCCATGCTCTACCAACTGAGCTACATTCCTGCCCCTACCCTGGGCCAATTGTGCACCGCCCCATGGGTCTCCCAGTCGCGGCCGGCTACGACAGAGCCTGGATTCGAACCAGGATCTCTAGTGGCAAAGCCACCGATGCAGTGCCTTAGACCACTGCGCCACTCGGGAGGTGTGAGAGCGGAGGAGATCGGTCCATTTTCCGTTAAATTAGCTGCCGGTATAAACTTGCTATGACAAGTTTTAGAATCTCAAGGTTTTTTTCTTCGGAGAGAGTTTTCCCTTGTAACTGTTGTCCCTTGGTGGTCAGGGTTAGTCACAGTTAGGGATAGTTTGGCTGAAATCCAGGGTGAAGTATTGCGATGGATGGAGTGATATTGTACGTTTTTCATAGTGGCTCTGAACATTGTGGGCATTTCACCAAACTGTCGGCCATCTTGTACTTGCAGAGCCCATACTCATAAATCATCTCAGATCTAGGATCTAGGATCAGTTTTGTCTTTAGATCACAATGAATAAGATTACATGGGCAGGGTGACCTGATCCCAGATCAGCACTACTCTGAGATGCTTGATACATAACTCCCCAGTGTCACGGTTTCGGCCGAGGCTGCTCCTCCTCCTTGTTCGGCGGTCGTCGTCGTCCCCCGGAGTACTAGCTATCACCGTTTGATGTTTTCGATGTCTGTTTGGTTTCGTCTGATTGTGTACACCTGTTTCCTGTTTGGTTGATTATGTCTCCTATAAGTTTCTCGTTTGGTTAGTCTTGTGTTGTGTGTTATTGTCCGCATGTCGGTAGGAGCTGCGGGTTTCTGCTCTGTTTGTTTGTTTGGTGTTTTTTTTATGCACAGTTTGCGTAATCGCTCACCTCTGTTTGTTTCGAGGCCCGTATTTTGTCACTTTATGACTAGTAAAGTCTGTTGGACTAGCCTCTGTGTCCTGCGCCTGACTCCTACACCACATCCACATCAGTTCCTGACACCCAGATCTTCACCAATGCAAAGGAGATGGGAAGCCCAAAAGCAAGGGTTTGCTTCTGGAAGTAAGAAACCTTTATCCTTCCTCACCTCTCAGGATAATAAGGGTTTGCTTCTGGAAGTAAGAAACCTTTGTCCTTCCTCACCTCTCAGGAGAATAAGGGTTTGCTTCTGGAAGTAAGAAACCTTTATCCTTCCTCACCTCTCAGGAGAATAAGGGTTTGCTTCTGGAAGTAAGAAACCTTTATCCTTCCTCACCTCTCAGGAGAATAAGGGTTTGCTTCTGGATGTTTTGACGTAGCCAATCATCACATTCACTTGGCACATCAACGCTGCCTAGGATAGAATAGACAATAGAAGTTGATTGTGTTTTTGTAGGGCTATAAGCCAGTTAATTTATAAGCCAATTCATGAACTTGAACTGTGTTGCGAGTGCCAACAATGACACATGTAGTAGGATTATATCTGTTGCATCATATCTTTTTATTGTAGTTTAACCTTGGAGGTAGTAGGTACTCTGTCTAAACTAACCATTTCTCTGTGAGGAGAGGAAGCAAAAAAACCAGTTAGAAAATATTTTGTCCTAAAACATGTCTAGGCCTAACCCTTTTCACCTGGACTTATTAGGCTTGGCTAATTGCCCCATTTATGTAAAAAGTGCATCCTTCAGTTCATTCAACATCTCTTTATAATCTTCCTCACGTACACACACCTGTAGGCTACATTATTTTTGTGGTTTATTGAACGTTTTTCAGCTGCCATACAGACAGGGAGAGAGACAGCTAACTTGCCTGACTAACTGAGGTGGTCCCCAGCACTGTTGCTGCTCTCAGATAGTGTGACAGTCACAGGATTCACAAGCTGTTGTAGTTGCAGCGCTGCCTCTTTCTCTTGGCAGCAGACCTGGCTTCCAACAGGATACTATTTGAAATAATTGAAAAATACTTTCTTTGGGCTTGATTGAGCTTGCCTGGCTTAATGGACCAATAGAATAGTCCCAAACTGGAAACCCCACCCACCTGGCAGTCCAGGCATGCTAGACAAACCAATGTTTAGAATAGTACTTGAACCCAGGTCTGCTTGGCAGCAGGGCCCAGCCCAGGGTTTGTTTAACTGGTCTCCTTTGAAAGGAATGTTTTGAAGTCTGTTATGTCTCTTCCTGTTGCTTCTGCCTCTGGTCCAATCATCCTACCCTGCTCAGAAGACCAGTTGTAGTAGTAACTCTCAGAAGACCAGTTGTAGTAGGAACCATCAGAAGACCAGTTGTAGTAGGAACCATCAGAAGACCAGTTGTAGTAGGAACCATCAGAAGACCAGTTGTAGTAGGAACCATCAGAAGACCAGTTGTAGTAGGAACCATCAGAAGAAAAGTTGTAGTAGGAACCATCAGAAGACCAGTTGTAGTAGGAACCATCAGAAGACCAGTTGTAGTAGGAACCATCAGAAGACCAGTTGTAGTAGGAACCATCAGAAGACCAGTTGTAGTAGGAACCATCAGAAGACCAGTTGTAGTAGTAACTCTCAGAAGACCAGTTGTAGTAGGAACCATCAGAAGACCAGTTGTAGTAGGAACCATCAGAAGACCAGTTGTAGTAGGAACCATCAGAAGACCAGTTGTAGTAGGAACCATCAGAAGACCAGTTGTAGTAGTAACTCTCAGAAGACCAGTTGTAGTAGTAACTCTCAGAAGACCAGTTGTAGTAGGAACCATCAGAAGACCAGTTGTAGTAGGAACCATCAGAAGACCAGTTGTAGTAGTAACTCTCAGAAGACCAGTTGTAGTAGGAACCATCAGAAGACCAGTTGTAGTAGTAACCATCAGAAGACCAGTTGTAGTAGGAACCATCAGAAGACCAGTTGTAGTAGTAACTCTCAGAAGACCAGTTGTAGTAGGAAACCATCAGAAGACCAGTTGTAGTAGGAACCATCAGAAGACCAGTTGTAGTAGGAACCATCAGAAGACCAGTTGTAGTAGTAACTCTCAGAAGACCAGTTGTAGTAGTAACTCTCAGAAGACCAGTTGTAGTAGGAACCATCAGAAGACCAGTTGTAGTAGGAACCATCAGAAGACCAGTTGTAGTAGGAACCATCAGAAGACCAGTTGTAGTAGGAACCATCAGAAGACCAGTTGTAGTAGTAACTCTCAGAAGACCAGTTGTAGTAGTAACTCTCAGAAGACCAGTTGTAGTAGGAACCATCAGAAGACCAGTTGTAGTAGGAACCATCAGAAGACCAGTTGTAGTAGTAACTCTCAGAAGACCAGTTGTAGTAGGAACCATCAGAAGACCAGTTGTAGTAGGAACCATCAGAAGACCAGTTGTAGTAGTAACTCTCAGAAGACCAGTTGTAGTAGGAACCATCAGAAGACCAGTTGTAGTAGGAACCATCAGAAGACCAGTTGTAGTAGGAACCATCAGAAGACCAGTTGTAGTAGGAACCATCAGAAGACCAGTTGTAGTAGGAACCATCAGAAGACCAGTTGTAGTAGTAACCATCAGAAGACCAGTTGTAGTAGTAACTCTCAGAAGACCAGTTGTAGTAGTAACTCTCAGAAGACCAGTTGTAGTAGGAACCATCAGAAGACCAGTTGTAGTAGGAACCATCAGAAGACCAGTTGTAGTAGTAACTCTCAGAAGACCAGTTGTAGTAGGAACCATCAGAAGACCAGTTGTAGTAGTAACCATCAGAAGACCAGTTGTAGTAGGAACCATCAGAAGACCAGTTGTAGTAGTAACTCTCAGAAGACCAGTTGTAGTAGGAACCATCAGAAGACCAGTTGTAGTAGGAACCATCAGAAGACCAGTTGTAGTAGGAACCATCAGAAGACCAGTTGTAGTAGTAACTCTCAGAAGACCAGTTGTAGTAGTAACTCTCAGAAGACCAGTTGTAGTAGGAACCATCAGAAGACCAGTTGTAGTAGGAACCATCAGAAGACCAGTTGTAGTAGGAACCATCAGAAGACCAGTTGTAGTAGGAACCATCAGAAGACCAGTTGTAATAGGAACCATCAGAAGACTAGTTGTAGTAGGAACCATCAGAAGACCAGTTGTAGTAGGAACCATCAGAAGACCAGTTGTAGTAGTAACTCTCAGAAGACCAGTTGTAGTAGGAACCATCAGAAGACCAGTTGTAGTAGGAACCATCAGAAGACCAGTTGTAGTAGTAACCATCAGAAGACCAGTTGTAGTAGGAACCATCAGAAGACCAGTTGTAGTAGGAACCATCAGAAGACCAGTTGTAGTAGGAACCATCAGAAGACCAGTTGTAGTAGTAACTCTCAGAAGACCAGTTGTAGTAGTAACTCTCAGAAGACCAGTTGTAGTAGGAACCATCAGAAGACCAGTTGTAGTAGGAACCATCAGAAGACCAGTTGTAGTAGGAACCATCAGAAGACCAGTTGTAGTAGGAACCATCAGAAGACCAGTTGTAGTAGTAACTCTCAGAAGACCAGTTGTAGTAGGAACCATCAGAAGACCAGTTGTAGTAGGAACCATCAGAAGACCAGTTGTAGTAGTAACCATCAGAAGACCAGTTGTAGTAGGAACCATCAGAAGACCAGTTGTAGTAGTAACTCTCAGAAGACTAGTTGTAGTAGGAACCATCAGAAGACCAGTTGTAGTAGTAACTCTCAGAAGACCAGTTGTAGTAGGAACCATCAGAAGACCAGTTGTAGTAGGAACCATCAGAAGACCAGTTGTAGTAGGAACCATCAGAAGACCAGTTGTAGTAGGAACCATCAGAAGACCAGTTGTAGTAGGAACCATCAGAAGACCAGTTGTAGTAGGAACCATCAGAAGACCAGTTGTAGTAGTAACCATCAGAAGACCAGTTGTAGTAGGAACCATCAGAAGACCAGTTGTAGTAGGAACCATCAGAAGACCAGTTGTAGTAGTAACTCTCAGAAGACCAGTTGTAGTAGGAACCATCAGAAGACCAGTTGTAGTAGTAACCATCAGAAGACCAGTTGTAGTAGGAACCATCAGAAGACCAGTTGTAGTAGGAACCATCAGAAGACTAGTTGTAGTAGGAACCATCAGAAGACCAGTTGTAGTAGGAACCATCAGAAGACCAGTTGTAGTAGTAACCATCAGAAGACCAGTTGTAGTAGGAACCATCAGAAGACCAGTTGTAGTAGGAACCATCAGAAGACCAGTTGTAGTAGGAACCATCAGAAGACCAGTTGTAGTAGGAACCATCAGAAGACCAGTTGTAGTAGGAACCATCAGAAGACCAGTTGTAGTAGGAACCATTTTTAGTGTCAGGGAAAATGGATGGGAGTAAAGAGTACATGTTTTCTTTAGGAATGTAGTGGAGTAAAAGTAGTCAAAAATATATAAATAGTAAAATAAAGTACAGATACCCCAAAAACACTTAAGTACTTTAAATTATTTGTACTTAAGTACTTGGCCTCTCAAGGAGATACAACCTGGATAAATAAAGTTTCAATAGAATCACAGGACCGCAAACAGAAAATAATTGGTCATGTCACTCACTGGCAGCTCCAAAATGTTTGCTGTCTGACTCTTCACTCAACGATGGAAGCTATAGGCCTTAGTTAATGGAGCTAGATAACAGATCTAAGGAAGGAGGCAACTCCCTCTCTGGTGATGGCTCCATCAGTCAGATTATATATTAACATACTGAACATATCTATCACCATCTAGATATCATCTTTAATGCTCCCTGAGGCTTCAATGCACATTACATTTTACATTTTAGTCATTTAGCAGACGCTCTTATCCAGAGCGACTTACAGTTAGTGAGTGCATACATTTTCATACTGGCCCCCCGTGGGAAACGAACCCACAACCCTGGCGTTGCAAGCGCCATGCTCTACCAACTGAGCTACATAAACTAGGCTACATTAAACTGTTGTGTCCAAATTATTGTTCACGCTGAATTCATAGAGGGGATTTATACAGGGCAGATGGCGCAAACTACGCACTAGACTGTAAAGCAAACTGAGATCTGAATTTATAGCCTGGCCTATGGTGTAAACACTGATAATTAAACTAGTTTACCCTATGGTGTAAACACTGATAATTAAACTAGTTTACCCTATGGTGTAAACACTGATAATTAAACTAGTTTACCCTATGGTGTAAACACTGATAATTAAACTAGTTTACCCTATGGTGTAAACACTGATAATTAAACTAGTTTACCCTATGGTGTAAATAACTGACATTTGATAAAACAGGAAAGCCCCGGTGTCTGTTCATGTTGGTTCCTCGTTACAGAATGTTCAGATAGAAATGTATAGTGTAGAACAGATGTGATCAGGGGATGTCTGTCAGGTTAGTATAGGGAATCGTCTCAGCTCTTTTCATTACATTTCTATCTGTTGCAATCTGAGGGTTTCATCTCACTGAATAGGGCCCTAGTGACCCCTAAATGCTAGATACAGTATCATACCTTCCCTCATGGACTAATATTTAACACAAGGTGAAACTGAGGTGTGTGCGTGTGTTTTCACCTCTGACTACTTTTTCAACACCAATGCAGCTATTTTTCATAGCTTGTGAACTGGAATGACAGGAGGGAGAGGGAGAGGGGGAGAGAGAGGAGGAGGGAGAGGGAGAGGGGGAAGAGGATAAAGGTTTTTTCCACAAACCGGTTGGAGTAGTTTCAGAAACAAGATCTGATCTGAATCAACCACACTACTCTGGCTGGCTGAATGACTGCCACTCCAGGCGAGTAGTGTCAGATTCCGCTGCAGAGTATCCCTTCCTTTAGCCTGATCCCAGATCTGTATGCGGTGTAGCCAACTTCCTGGTCATTGTAAATTTACAGATCTGGGACCAGGCTACCACCCTCCACTGCCACAATACCAGACTGCCACAATACCAGACAGCCACAATACCAGACAGCCACAATACCAGACAGCCACAATACCAGACAGCCACAATACCAGACAGCCACAATACCAGACTGCCACAATACCAGACTGCCACAATACCAGACAGCCACAATACCAGACAGCCACAATACCAGACTGCCACAATACCAGACTGCCACAATACCAGACTGCCACAATACCAGACGGCCACAATACCAGACAGCCACAATACCAGACTGCCACAATACCAGACTGCCACAATACCAGACAGCCACAATACCAGACTGCCACAATACCAGACAGCCACAATACCAGACAGCCACAATACCAGACAGCCACAATACCAGACTGCCACAATACCAGACAGCCACAATACCAGACAGCCACAATACCAGACTGCCACAATACCAGACAGCCACAATACCAGACAGCCACAATACCAGACAGCCACAATACCAGACAGCCACAATACCAGACTGCCACAATACCAGACAGCCACAATACCAGACTGCCACAATACCAGACTGCCACAATACCAGACAGCCACAATACCAGACTGCCACAATACCAGACAGCCACAATACCAGACAGCCACAATACCAGACAGCCACAATACCAGACTGCCACAATACCAGACAGCCACAATACCAGACAGCCACAATACCAGACTGCCACAATACCAGACAGCCACAATACCAGACTGCCACAATACCAGACTGCCACAATACCAGACAGCCACAATACCAGACTGCCACAATACCAGACAGCCACAATACCAGACAGCCACAATACCAGACAGCCACAATACCAGACTGCCACAATACCAGACAGCCACAATACCAGACAGCCACAATACCAGACTGCCACAATACCAGACAGCCACAATACCAGACAGCCACAATACCAGACAGCCACAATACCAGACTGCCACAATACCAGACTGCCACAATACCAGACAGCGTGCTCTACTCTAGACTTCTGGCTTACCCACAGTTAGGCTAACCTTTAATGTAGACTTCTGGCTTACCCACATTTGGCTAACCTTTAATGTAGACTTCTGGCTTACCCACAGTTTGGCTAACCTTTAATGTAGACTTCTGGCTTACCCACAGTTTGGCTAACCTTTAATGTAGACTTCTGGCTTACCCACAGTTAGGCTAACCTTTAATGTAGACTTCTGGCTTACCCACATTTGGCTAACCTTTAATGTAGACTTCTGGCTTACCCACAGTTTGGCTAACCTTTAATGTAGACTTCTGGCTTACCCACAGTTAACCTCTGTTGTGGGCTTCTGGCTTACCCACAGTTAACCTCTGTTGTGGGCTTCTGGCTTACCCACAGTTAGGCTAACCTTTAATGTAGACTTCTGGCTTACCCACAGTTAACCTCTGTTGTGGGCTTCTGGCTTACCCACAGTTAACCTCTGTTGTGGGCTTCTGGCTTACCCACAGTTAACCTCTGTTGTGGGCTTCTGGCTTACCCACAGTTAACCTCTGTTTTGGGCTTCTGGCTTACCCACAGTTAGGCTAACCTTTAATGTAGACTTCTGGCTTACCCACAGTTAACCTCTGTTGTGGGCTTCTGGCTTACCCACAGTTAACCTATGTTGTGGGCTTCTGGCTTACCCACAGTTAACCTCTGTTGTGGGCTTCTGGCTTACCCACAGTTAGGCTAACCTTTAATGTAGACTTCTGGCTTACCCACAGTTAACCTCTGTTGTGGGCTTCTGGCTTACCCACAGTTAACCTCTGTTGTGGGCTTCTGGCTTACCCACAGTTTGGCTAACCTTTAATGTAGACTTCTGGCTTACCCACAGTTAACCTCTGTTGTGGGCTTCTGGCTTACCCACAGTTTGGCTAACCTTTAATGTAGACTTCTGGCTTACCCACAGTTAACCTCTGTTGTTGGCTTCTGGCTTACCCACAGTTAGGCTAACCTTTAATGTAGACTTCTGGCTTACCCACAGTTAGGCTAACCTTTAATGTAGACTTCTGGCTTACCCACAGTTAGGCTAACCTTTAATGTAGACTTCTGGCTTACCCACAGTTTGGCTAACCTTTAATGAAGACTTCTGGCTTACCCACAGTTAGGCTAACCTTTAATGAAGACTTCTGGCTTACCCACAGTTTGGCTAACCTTTAATGTAGACTTCTGGCTTACCCACAGTTTGGCTAACCAATGTTGGAGTGGCCGGGTGAAAGGGGTTGAATCTGTTAGACTAGTGTCGTAGAATCACAATGTTAATCACATTACTTTTATATTAGAATGTATTAGATATACAGTGGGGGAAAAAAGTATTTAGTCAGCCACCAATTGTGCAAGTTCTCCCACTTAAAAAGATGAGAGAGGCCTGTAATTTTCATCATAGGTACACGTCAACTATGACAGACAAATTGAGATTTTTTTCTCTCCAGAAAATCACATTGTAGGATTTTTAATGAATTTATTTGCAAATTATGGTGGAAAATAAGTATTTGGTCACCTACAAACAAGCAAGATTTCTGGCTCTCACAGACCTGTAACTTCTTCTTTAAGAGGCTCCTCTGTCCTCCACTCGTTACCTGTATAAATGGCACCTGTTTGAACTTGTTATCAGTATAAAAGACACCTGTCCACAACCTCAAACAGTCACACTCCAAACTCCACTATGGCCAAGACCAAAGAGCTGTCAAAGGACACCAGAAACAAAATTGTAGACCTGCACCAGGCTGGGAAGACTGAATCTGCAATAGGTAAGCAGCTTGGTTTGAAGAAATCAACTGTGGGAGCAATTATTAGGAAATGGAAGACATACAAGACCACTGATAATCTCCCTCGATCTGGGGCTCCACGCAAGATCTCACCCGTGGGGTCAAAATGATCACAAGAACGGTGAGCAAAAATCCCAGAACCACACGGGGGGACCTAGAGAATGACCTGCAGAGAGCTGGGACCAAAGTAACAAAGCCTACCATCAGTAACACACTACGCCGCCAGGGACTCAAATCCTGCAGTGCCAGACGTGTCCCCCTGCTTAAGCCAGTACATGTCCAGGCCCGTCTGAAGTTTGCTAGAGTGCATTTGGATGATCCAGAAGAGGATTGGGAGAATGTCATATGGTCAGATGAAACCAAAATATAACTTTTTGGTAAAAACTCAACTCGTTGTGTTTGGAGGACAAAGAATGCTGAGTTGCATCCAAAGAACACCATACCTACTGTGAAGCATGAGGGTGGAAACATCATGCTTTGGGGCTGTTTTTATGCAAAGGGACCAGGACGACTGATCCGTGTAAAGGAAAGAATGAATGGGGCCATGTATCGTGAGATTTTGAGTGAAAACCTCCTTCCATTAGCAAGGGCATTGAAGATTAAACGTGGCTGGGTCTTTCAGCATGACAATGATCCCAAACACACCGCCCGGGCAACGAAGGAGTGGCTTCGTAAGAAGCATTTCAAGGTCCTGGAGTGGCCTATCCAGTCTCCAGATCTGTTGCCCAGCGACAGCCCCAAAACATCACTGCTCTAGAGGAGATCTGCATGGAGGAATGGGCCAAAATACCAGCAACAGTGTGTGAAAACCTTGTGAAGACTTACAGAAAACGTTTGACCTGTGTCATCGCCAACAAAGGGTATATAACAAAGTATTGAGAAACTTTTGTTATTGACCAAATACTTATTTTCCACCATAATTTGCAAATAAATTCATAAAAAATCCTACAATGTGATTTTCTGGATTTTTTTCCCTCATTTTGTCTGTCATAGTTGACGTGTACCTATGATGAAAATTACAGGCCTCTCTCATCTTTTTAAGTGGGAGAACTTGCACAATTGGTGGCTGACTAAATACTTTCCCCCCCCCACTGTATTAGTACATTCATACTGTCTGTTCTCCTGAGAGGGAACATAATAGGGTTTTTACAACTCTCCTGTGTCTGTGTGGAACTGAGATGAGCCTCTGAGATTTAAACGCTGACAGTTGATTTGCGACGACCTGGTGATAAGACAACATTCCATTCCATGATTAGTGTCTGTGTGCCTGTCTGTCGGTGCCAGGGAGACCCCATCTCCATTTTATTTATCCTATATGGAAGATGAACACTGGACTTAATCGTTTGAGGGAATGACCTAGTGTTCTAGGTTACATTTAGTATTTCTGTATAAACAAGCAGTAAGTTAACTAGAGACAGAACCTCAGTTCTGCTCTTCTGAGTTCGCAGTGATCACCTCCAGGGGTGGTTACCGACCAACTCCATTACTGCAGTAATTAATAAAGTTAAATTGTTTTGAGGAAATCGAAAAGTCTCTCCTTTGATTAGAATAATTACCACGACACTAGTGTCTGTTTTGGAATATTACTGTTATGATTTTCAACTGTAAACAGTCCAGGCTATAATGAGAAAAGACAAGCAACACTAGCAAAACACATCTCACCTTTACTGAGTGTGCAGGTTGCTCTATTTATTATTATTATTAAAGTAAGCAGGTTGCTCTATTTATTATTATTATTAAAGTAAGCAGGTTGCTCTATTTTGTAAGCTATTCTTTCTATTATCTGAAGGACACTGAAGGAACACTAACACATGGAGTGCTTATGAAAATACATCTGTACTCTACTGTATGCAGCACTCACTGATGCTGTGCCAAACTAGTTATGTATGGCGTCATATTTCATCTCTACTCTTTTTCCTGGCCTCTTGTCCTGACTCACAAATGTTTTGACAGTCCTGCTTTTTTAACATTCGTTTCTGTATATTTAATCTCTTCCCTCTGACTTTTGGCTGGTGTTTGGACAAATGTTGAAATTACAACAACAAAAAATTACAATGATATCCAACAAGTCATGTAAGCCATTGTGTGAATATATGAACACCAATGAGAATGGAAGCAGTATGCACTCAATTGTGAAGAATACAAATTATAAGCTTTGAACTTTGTGTTCTGATAATGCTTCTTTTCACTGATATTCATCCAGGTTTATGAGTCCGTCTGTAAGTGAGATGGTGTGCATTGTCAATATAATAATGCCAGTAAGATAGAGATAAGCTGTGTGTTCTGATAGGGTTTAACTGATAGGGCTTCTACTGCTATTATTCCTTCAGGTTCATAGCCAGTCCATGTGCCTTCTTCTTGCATATCCACGCTGCCTCAGTCCACTGGCGAGCCACACCCAACACTGTCCTGGAGAAGGTGTTTACATCCATCACAAAGGTACACTAGCTCGCTGGCGCGCGCACACACACACAGAGGTCGATTCAATGTTGTTTCAACATAATTTGACAACGTATTGTGACTTGGAATCTACATGGAAAATACATTGGATTTTTAAAAAAAGTTATCAACGTAAAACTTTTGTTTTGAGGGTGGGAAAATTTCAACCTCAGGATTATGTCATTGTGGGAACCAAATTTCAACATTGACAGACCTTGTATAAAATATGTTGATACATTTGTAACTTTAAAACAACGTCAGATACACTATGAAGCACCTCCTACTGGAGAGTTGATGTATCTACAGCTCCCCTTTGGTCTGCCATCCAGGGTTTTAACCAAGCCCTGCTTAGCTTTGATATGTGTTTTATTTTATTTTACCAGGCAAGTCAGTTAAGAACAAATTCTTATTTACAATGACGGCCTACACCGGCCAAACGTGCGCCGCCCTATGGGACTCCCAATCACGGCCGGTTGTGATACAGCCTGGAATCGAACCAGGGGGGTCTGTAGTGACGCCTCAAGCGCTGAGATGCAGTGCCTTAGACCGCTACCGCCACTCGGGAGCCCAGTGTGTCACTGACTACCAATGTGCTATCGTGAGAATGATTGTTGAGAAATCTCCACTTTAATAGATTCACTGTCGCTATCGAAGTTACTTCAAAGGGCAGGTTCAACAGAGCAAATTAAATGTGACCATACTTTATCAATCATCAATGATGCTATTTAGGCCTAAATAGAATTTGCATAGTCATCAACAGCAATAGTTTTAATTCAAACCAGAATTCAACTAACAATAGACAATACAATAGTCCTAGGGTTTCAAGCTCTGGTTGATTTCAAATGTAATGATATTTAGTGATATTTAATTGTGTGTGGTTATCAATGCAACCCAATATCAACATTTGAAGGAGATTTATCTTCTGCTTGGATAGTTACATCTGAGCCACTGAGCAAACTTCCAGTTTGTCTACAAATTAATAATTAATATGTTGGATTCACGTCTCCATCTCAACCAAAAATCTAAGTCAAAGAATAGGACTAAATCAAATCAAACTTTATTTAAAGTGCATTTAAAGTTTGATTTGATTTAGTCCTATTCTATACACCCGAATAAGGTTTTAGAGAAGGTGTTTACAGTGTTTACATCCATCACAAAGGTATGCTCGCTGCCACACACATACACATCACAAAAGGTATGCCACACACACACACACACACGCACGCACACACACACACACACACACACACACACACACACACACATTAGCCTGGAAATTATTTATCCCAATGGCAGTAGACTAGGTCCCAGAAAGAGAACATTTCTGTCTGTCAGCTTTCCTCTGTCTCCTTATGTCTCTCCAGTCTAACACCATACCAAACAATACAATGCCTTAGTTCTTCATTTGTTCCTTCCTTCTTCCTCCTCCCCTCATACTTTCATTTCTCTCTCGGAATTATCTAATCAACATTGTTGTAAAACTTGGGAATTTGGGGGGGAAATGATTTCGTCTTGAAGGACAATAAACGTCAGATCAATCAATCTCTCCCCCAGAAAACATTTGGGCTTACTGTCAGCTTTCTCCTAATGGCCCACTCCCAGTATTTTACCCAATACTCAACCACCTCATATTTTTCATCCGTTCCTACCTCCTACCCCCCCTCATACTGTATATCATGCCATCTGAGGGGATGTCTTGTGATGTGTCGTACTGTATCTATGAGCAGGCCAGGACTCCCTGTATGTTGCAAAGCAAATTTCCCTATTGGAATTTCCCTCATTCATTTATTAATTCATTCATAGTTTCTTCCTCCTTCCTTATACTCTTTCATTTCTGACTTCCATTTCTCACTCCCTCCCCCTCTCTCTCTCTCTCTCTCTCTAATATATCTCTCTCTAATACCTCTCTTTCTCTCTCTCTAATATATCTCTCTCTAATAACTCTCTTTCTCTCTCTAATATATCTCTCTAATACCTCCCGCTCTTTTTCTCTCTCTCTCTCGCTAATACGTCCCTCACCCCCTCTCTCTGTCTCTCTCTCTCTGTCTCTCTCTCTCTCTCTCTCTCTCTCTCTCTCTCTCTCTCTCTCTCTCTCTCTCTCTCTCTCTCTCTCTCTCTCTCTCTCTCTCTCTCTCTCTCTCTGTCTCTCTCTCTCTGTCTCTCTCTCTCTCTCTCTATCTCTCTCTCTCTCTCTGTCTCTAATACCTCCCCCTCTCTCTGTCCCGTAGGGCCCGGACTCGCGACACCTGGTTGGGTTATCTAAGCAGTTGGACTGGGATGTAAGGAAGGTCCAGCGATGGTTCAGACACAGACGCAACCAGGACAAACCCAGCATACTCACCAAGTTCTGTGAGAGCATGTAGGTTATGTTATCAAACCCAGTACAGAACATGTAGGTTATCAAACCCAGTACAGAACATGTAGGTTATGTTATCAAAACCAGTACAGAACATGTAGGTTATTAAACCCAGTACAGAACATGTCTAAAGTTTGGACACACCTACTCATTCCAGCGTCTTTCTTTATTTTTACTATTTTCTATATTGTAGAATAATAGTGAAGATATCAAAACTATGAAATAACACATATGGAATCATATAGTAACCAAAAAAGTGTTAAACAAATCAAAATATATTTTATATTTGAGATTCTACAAAGTTGCCACCCTTTGCCTTGATGACAGCTTTGCACACTCTTGGCATTCTCTCAACCAGCTTCACCTGGAATGCTTTTCCAACAGTCTTGAAGGAGTTCCCACATATGCTGAGCACTTGTTGGCTGCTTTTCCTTCACTCTGCGGTCTGACTCATCCCAAACCATCTCAATTGGGTTGAGGTCAGGTGATTGTGGAGGACAGGTCATCTGATGCAGCACTCCATCACTCTCCTTCTTGGTAAAATAGCCCTTACACAGCCTGGAGGTGTGTTGGGTCATTGTCCTGTTGAAAAACAAATGATAGTGCCACTAAGCGCAAATCAGATGGGATGGCGTATCGCTGCAGAATGCTATGGTAGCCATGCTGGTTAAGTGTGCCTTGAATTCTAAATAAATCACAGACGGTGTCATCAGCAAAGCACCCACACACCATCACACCTCCTCCTCCATGCTTCACGGTGGGAACCACACAAGCGGAGATCATCCGTTCACCTACTCTGCGTCTCACAAAGACACGGCGGTTGGAACCAAAAATCTCAAATTTGGACTCATCAGACCAAACGACAGATTTCCACCGGTCTAATGTCCATTGCTTGTGTTTCTTGGCCCAAGCAAGTCTCTTTTTCTTATTGGTGTCGTTTTAGTAGGGGTTTCTTTGCAGCAATTCGACCATGAAGTCCTGATTCACACAGTCTCCTCTGAACAGTTGATGTTGAGATGTGTCTGTTACTTGAACTCTGTGAAGCATTTATTTGGGCTGCAATTTCTGAGGCTGGTAACTCTAATGAACTTCTCCTCTGCAGCAGAGGTAACTCTGGGTCTTCCTTTCCTGTGGCGGTCCTCATGAGAGCCAGTTTCATCATAGCGCTTGATGGTTTTTGCGACTGCACTTGAAGAAACTTTCAAAGTTCTCGAAATGTTCCGTATTGACTGACCTTTATGTCTTAAAGTAATGATGGACTGTCGTTTCTCTTTGCTTATTTGAGCTGTTCTCGCCATAATATGGACTTGGTCTTTTACCAAATAGGGCTATCTTCTGTATACCCCCCCCCCCCCCCCCCCCCTACCTTGTCACAGCACAACTGATTGGCTCAAACGCATTAAGGAAAGAAATTCCACAAATTAACTTTTAAGAAAGCACACCTGTTAATTGAAATGCATTCCAGGTGGCTACCTCATGAAGCTGGTTGAGAGAATGCCAAGAGTGTGCAAAGCTGTCATCAAGGCAAAGGGTGGCTACTTTGAAGAATCTCAAATCTCAAATATATTTTGATTTGTTTAACACTTTTTGGTTACTACATGATTCCATATGTGTTATTTCATAGTTTTGACGTCTTCACTATTATTCTACAATGTAGAAAATAGTAAAAATAAAGAAAGACGCTGGAATGAGTAGGTGTGTCCAAACCTTTGACTGGTACTGTAGGTTATCAAACCCAGTACAGAACATGTAGGGTCATATCATAGACTATAACATCTAGTCTAGATCTATGGTCCTTATCTACTAATTAGTTTTCCCTTTGATCTCTGTGGGATTGTGCACACATTGGTTTATGGTGTGTGTGGTGTGATATGCTCTGATTTGTAAATGAATTGGACTAGCTTGGTTATATCACCGTCTACATGGTTGATCAGGGTCAATGTAATGCATACAAGGTGAGAGACTTGACACACATTATTTTTCCGGACAATTTTTCATTTTCGATTGTACGGTTTCCTCTGTCCGACCACGTCTCTGTCATGTGTTTTCAGGTGGAGGCTTACATTTTACCTGTGCATATTTACCTACGGGATCTGCTTTCTATGGCAGGTGAGATATTCTGGTGATCGTGCGTGTATTTACATGTTTTTTCCTTTTTTTGGCGTAACATTGGGTGCGCTGAATTCGGACTGATTGTGTTGGTCTTTGTTTTTTCAGTGCCCGTGGATGTGGGATACACACCACTGCTGGTACAACTACCCTTACCAGGTGACATTATACAGGCTGGCTCTTCATTTGGGTGGATGTATTTTGGAATTACATAGAGTACTGTTGTTGACATTTTCTGACGAGGAGCACTGCTAAGTAAACTCGTGAAGGCGCAAGAAAAATTATAGTATGTTACACACATTCAATAATGTCTGTATCCTTATTAAAGATAAACCCCTTTTTTTTTCTTTTTTTTTTTTCTGTCCCCGCTGCTGACCCATCTGCAGGTCCTGACTCCAGACCTGTACCATCCGTATTAACATAAACCCTGTCTGTCTCGGTCCCTGTTGGTGTCTTAACAGGTCCTGACTCCAGGCCTGTACCACTACTACGTGACTGAGCTGGGCTTCTACTGGTCCCTCATGTTCTCTCAGTTTACTGACATCAAACGCAAGGTGAGACGCAAGACAGGCAACAGATGCTGTCTGTTCGATGGGAACACGCACACATATTGCGACTCCTTGTTACAAAACTAACTACTAGGTATGCTAAGATATGTTTATTTCTGTTGTGATGTACAGAGTAAAGTATAGGAATGTCCTTGACTCCACTGGATTAGAGCAGTTTAGCATGAATCATTATGAAAGGTCACATGGGTTCTGCTCAGAAATGCTGTTTGTTTCCATCAGTAAATGCCTAATTCCAGCACAGGGGACAGGATTTATAGTCATGTGTTAGCAGGATAGAATATTCCGGTCCTTAATAGAATTATTGAGATTCCTTCATGGATTCCATGGAGTCAAGGAGATCCGTCTGGGGTTGGATAAGGCTAAAGAAAGCCATGTTGGAGTTTGTAAGACTGAGATTAATATATATTTTTTTTTCAAAGCACTTTGCTCACTTGTGAATAGTGGTGAAAATAAACGTAGGCCCTGTTTTTGGTATGCTCCAGTACAGACGAATCAGAAAGGAGTTCTAGAACCTATCAGTCTCTTTCTGTTTCTCTGCTTTATTGAATTATCTCAGGCTTTGATGTGCTAAGGAAGGAAGCAGTCATTTTCAATTTAACCAGGAAGTGCCAGATAGATTTCACGCATATCATCCTGCCTTGGGCAAGAAATTGCATCCATTTTATGGACCAAACATAAATTGCCCCTATGGACCATACAATATGTAGACTGGTAGGTCATGGAAGTGCGTCATTATCATTAGGGCTACATATTTGCCTGGAGCGGATATTTTAGTCACAGACGACTTCAACCGTTTGTCTGGTGATTGTAGCTGTCAGTTGGTCTGGTTATTGTAGCTGTCAGTTGGTCTGGTTATTGTAGCTGTCAGTTGGTCTGGTCATTGTAGCTGTCAGTTGGTCTGGTCATTGTAGCTGTCAGTTGGTCTGGTTATTGTAGCTGTCAGTTTGTCTGGTGATTTTAGCTGTCAGTTGGTCTGGTGATTTTAGCTGTCAGTTGGTCTGGTTATTGTAGCTGTCACTGGACATGTCCTCAGTGTGACAGATTTTTTGTGTGGTTCTTCAAAGTATTAATCTTTGACCTTGGCTTACAGTGCTCCCCCTGTTGGAGTCCATGTGTCTTACTGCTACTGTAGAAGAGTAGATCATGAGTTTTACTGCTAGAAAGCTGGAAATAGAGGTTCATAGGAGATAAATGAGGAAGTCATAAAGGTTATTGAGCAGAGTTATTTTATGAAGCTGCTGTGAATGAAATCTGCCCTTTTAACGCAACAAATATATGCATATACGCTACCGTTCAAAAGTTTGGGGTCACTTAGAAATGTCCTTGTTTTCCATGAAAACATACATGAAATGAGTTTGAATAGGAAATATAGCAAATTGAATAGGAAATGTAGTCATTGACAAGGTTAGAAATAATGATTTTTAATTTAAATAATAATTCTGTCCTTCAAACTTTGCTTTCGTCAAAGAATCCTCCATTTGCAGCAATTACAGCTTTGCAGACCTTTGGCATTCTAGTTGTCAATTTGTTGAGGTAATCTGAAGAGATTTCACCCCATGCTTCCTGAAGCACCTCCCACAAGTTGGATTGGCTTGATGGGCACTTCTTACGTACGTTCAAGCTGCTCCCACAACAGCTCAATAGGGTTGAGATCCGGTGACTGTGCTGGCCACTCATTTACATTACATTTTAGTCATTTAGCAGACGCTCTTATCCAGAGCGACTTACAGGAGCAATTAGGGTTAAGTGCCTTGCTCAAGGGCACATTTACGTCATTTAGCAGACGCTCTAGTCCAGAGCGACTCACAAATTGATGCATTCACCCTATAGCCAGTGGGATAACCACTTTACAAATTTTTTTTGGGGGGGGGGGGGTAGAAGGATTACTTTATCCTATCCCAGGTATTCCTTAAAGAGGTGGGGTTTCAAATGTCTCCGGAAGGTGGTGAGCGACTCCGCTGTGTGTGGGGGGGGGGGGTAGAAGGATTACTTTATCCTATCCCAGGTATTCCTTAAAGAGGTGGGGTTTCAAATGTCTCCGGAAGGTGGTGAGTGACTCCGCTGTGGGGTGGGGGGGTAGAAGGATTACTTTATCCTATCCCAGGTATTCCTTAAAGAGGTGGGGTTTCAAATTGGGTTTCAAATGGGTTTCACTCCATTATAGACAGAATACCAGCTGACTGCTTCTTCCCCAAATAGTTATTGCATAGTTTGGAGCTGTGCTTTGGGTCATTGTCCTGTTGTAGGAGGAAATTGGCTCCAATCAAGCCCCGTCCACAGGGTATGGCATGGCGTTGCAAAATTGAGCGATAGCCTTCCTTCTTCAAGATCCCTTTTACCCTGTACAAATCCCCCAGACCATCACATTGCCTCCACCATGCTTGACAGATGGCATCAAGCACTCCTCCAGCATCTTTTCATTTGGTCTGCGTCTCACAAATGTTCTTCTTTGTGATCCGAACACCTCAAACTTCGATTTGTCTGTCCATAACACTTTTTTCCAATCTTCCTCTGTCCAGTGTCTGTGTTCTTTTGCCCATTTTAATCTTTAATTTTTATTGGCCAGTCTGAGATATGGCTTGTCTTTGCAACTCTGCCTAGAAGGTCAGCATCCCGGAGTCGCCTCTTCACTGTTGACGTTGAGACTGGTGTTTTGCGGGTACTATTTAATGAAGCTGCCAGTTGAGGACTTGTGAGGCGTCTGTTTCTCAAACTAGACGCTCTAATGTATTTGTCCTCTTGCTCAGTTGTGCACCGGGGCCTCCCACTCCTCTTTCTATTCTGGTTAGAGACAGTTTGCGCTGTTCTGTGAAGGGAGTAGTTCACAGCGTTGTACGAGATCTTAAGTTTCTTGGCAATTTCTCGCATAGAATAGCCTTCATTTCTCAGAACAAGAATAGACTGACGAGTTTCAGAAGAAAGTGATTTGTTTCTGGCCATTTTGAGCCTGTAATCGAACCCACAATTGCTGATGCTCCAGATACTCAACTAGTCTCAAGAAGGCCAGTTTTATTGCTTCTTTAATCAGCACAACAGTTTTTCGCTGTGCTAACATAATTGCAAAAAGGGTTTTCTAATGATCAATTAGCCTTTTAAAATGATAAACTTGGATTAGCAAACACAACGTGCCATTGGAACACAGGACTGATGGTTGCTGATAATGGGCCTCTGTACGCCTATGTAGATATTCCATTAAAAACCAGCCGTTTCCAGTTAACAATGTCTACACTGTATTTCTGATCATTTTAATGGACAAAAAAATTGCTTTTCTTTCGAAAACAGGGACATTTCTAAGTGACCCAAAATAAGAATTTCCCTGTAACTGTTCTGTAGTGACCCAGCTGTTGTGATATGAAAACAAACCAGACCACCTCCTGGTTCATTGTTGAATTGCAGGACTTCCCTATCATGTTCATCCATCACCTAGCAACAGTGAGCCTGATCAGTTTCTCCTACGCTAACAACATGCTGCGTGTCGGGAGCCTGGTGATGTGTGTCCACGATGCTTCAGACTTCCTACTGGAGGTGAGTGCGGATGGACGGGGACCCACACACACACACACACACGCACACACACACACACACGCACACACACACGCACACATACACACACAGGCTCTGTTCCAGAGTCCACACTTACAAACTGGCATATTACTCAGAATGAGTTATGAATGCATTCTCAGTGATATGCTAGTGTAGAATTGGAATGTACACTACCAGTCAAAAGTTTGGACACACCTACTCATTCAAGGGTTTTTCTTTATTTTTAAAAATTTTTACATTGTAGGATAATAGTGAAGACATCAAAACTATGAAATAACACATATGGAATCATGTAGTAACCAAAAAAGTGTTAAATAAATCAAAATATATTTGAGATTTGAGATTCTTCAAATAGCCACCCTTTGCCTTGATGACAGCTTTGCACACTCTTGGCATTCTCTCAACCAGCTTCATGAGGTAGTCACCTGGAATGCATTTCAATTAACAGGTGTGCCTTCTTAAAAGTTAATTTGTGGAATTTCTTTCCTCCTTAATGTGTTTGAGCCAATCAGTTGTGTTGTGACAAGGTAGGGGTGGTATACAGAAGATAGCCCTATTTGGTAAAAGACCAAGTCCATATTATGGCAAGAACAGCTCAAATAAGCAAAGAGAAACGACAGTCCATCATTACTTTAAGACATGAAGGTCAGTCAATATGGAACATTTGTGCAGTCGCAAAAACCTTCAAGCGCTATGTGGTCCTCTGTAGCTCAATTGGTAGAGCATGGCGCTTGTAACGCCAGGGTAGTGGGTTCGATCCCCGGGACAACCCATATGTAAAAATGTATGCACACATGACTGTAAGTCGCTTTGGATAAAAGCGTCTGCTAAATGGCTTATTATTATATTATATATATTATATATTATATGATGAAACTGGCTCTCATGAGGACCGCCACAGGAATGGAAGACCCAGAGTTACCTCTGCTGCAGAGGATAAGTTCATTAGAGTTACCAGCCTCAGAAATTGCAGCCCAAATAAATGCTTCACAGAGTCCAAGTAACACACATCTCAACATCAACTGTTCAGAGGGGACTGTGTGAATCAGGCCTTCATGGTTCAATTGCTGAAAAGAAACCACTATTAAAGGACACCAATAAGAAGAAGAGACCTGCTTGGGCCAAGAAACACGAGCAATGGACATTAGACCAGTGGAAATTTGGTCTGGAGTCCAAATTTGAGATTTTTGGTTCAAACCGCTGTGTCTTTGTGAGACGGTGTGGGTGAACGGATGATCTCCGCATGTGTTGTTCCCACCGTAAAGCATGGAGGAGGAGGTGTTATGGTGTGGGGGTGCATTGCTGGTGACACTGTCTGTGATTTATTTAGAATTCAAGGCACATTTAACCAGCATGGCTACCACAGCATTCTGCAGCGATACGCCATCCCATCTGGTTTGGGCTTAGTGGGACTATCATTTGTTTTTCAACAGAACAATGACCCAACACACCCCCAGGCTGTGTAAGGGCTATTTTACCAAGAAGGAGAGTGATGGAGTGCTGCATCAGATGACCTGGCCTCCACAATCCCCTGACCTCAACCCAATTGAGATGGTTTGGGATGAGTCGGACGGCAGAGTGAAGGAAAAGCAGCCAACAAGTGCTCAGCATATGTGGGAACACCTTCAAGACTGTTGGAAAAGCATTCCAGGTGAAGCTGGTTGAGAGAATGCCAAGAGTGTGCAAAGCTGTCGTCAAGGCAAAGGGTGGCTATTTGAAGAATCTCAAATATAAAATATATTTTGATTTGTTTAACACTTGTTTGGTTACTACATGATTCCATATGTGTTATTTCATAGTTTTGATGTCTTCACTATTATTCTACAATGTAGAAAATAGTAAAAAAATAAAGAAAAACCGTTGAATGAGTAGGTGTGTCCAAACTTTTGAGTGGTAGTGTACATCAAAGTACAGTACATGTCTTTTTTTCTCATGTAGAAGGAACTTCTGGAACATTCAGTAGTACAATAAGACTCAGAAACTAGTAGGTACATTATATCAACGTTTTCCTACACTTCTTTTTCAGGCAGCCAAGCTGGCCAACTACACCAAGTACCAGCGCCTGTGTGACTTCCTGTTTGTTCTGTTTGCAGTAGTCTTCTTCATCACACGGCTCGTCATCTACCCTCTATGGTTAGTGACTCTATGGTTGTCATCTACCCTCTATGGTTAGTGACACTATGGTTGTTATCTACCCTCTATGGTGCGTGCAGCACTGGTGTGTATTCACTTGGAACTAAACTAAGTAAATGGACCGAAACAGGGAGGCACCTACCTGAATTTGTCCAATAAGTAACTTTTGGTTTTGTTGGGAAACTTTTTCAGTTGAAAAACGTTTTTCTACAATTTGCACTAACGAAACATCCCAGTTATCTGTCTACCCTCTACCTTTATGGTTAGTGTCTGTCTGTCTGTCTGTCTGCCAGGTCTCCCTTAGGAAACAGGTATTGTTCTGACCTCAATGGGACTTCCTGGATAAGTAAAGGTTAAATAACATTCAGCAGAGACATCTACAGTAACCTCTATGGTTAGTTATTGACACTACTCTAAGGCTTGGTCCCAAATGGCCCCTATTCCCGAGCCCAGAGGGCCCTGGTCCAAAATAGCGCACTACATAGAGAATGGTGTACCATTTGGGACGTAGTACATCTGTGATATTAATGTGGACGGAAGCAGCTCTCCAGGAAGACCATCGATAGAGGGCCATGCCTATGATGGGCAGTGGAGGTAACCTGAGCTGCTATAGTCAGCGTCTTGGTGTGCGTACCAAATGGCACTCTTATTTCCTACATAGGGCTCTGGTCAAAAGTAGTGCACTATGGGCCCTAGTCAAAAGTAGTGCACTATAGCCTATATAGGCATGGGGTCCCAAATTGCATTTAGGCTTGGGCCAATTTTTCCTTGAGCGGGTGGTCGGGGAGCCGTAACATAGTTATAAATCATTTGTACGCTGGAAATTGACCGCAAGAATCCCAAACAAATACAGTATTAGACAAATCATTTCAAACCTTGATTACGTTGAGATACGATCACATATGCCTCTCTATTATGCGGGGGAATACTTGGGAACAGATTTTCTAAATTAAAATCACTTTGAGCTGATTTCCTGTCCAACTCAAGGTACCCCCCCCCAAAAAAAAATGCACTCTCCTCCCCAACGTAAATAAATATTTTCACATGACCCTCCCCTTGTACTCTAAAATAAATTGCACACCCTCCCCCCTCATGGAATTAACTCAAAATAACGTTTACGTCCACAAATAACAATAGCTGTGTTTATAAATGTGGATATCGACTTTGCCACTTCAGCATGCTTTTGTGGCACGGTCGATGCCACGCAGGGCTACGGGGCAGGGTTGAGGGTTCGCTGACCACCACGGACTAGCTCACGCTCCCTGCCTACGATCAGAGCCGGCTGCAGACAATGATCAGCTAAGGGGGAAATAAGATGTTCAACGTTTTGATGTATATATTATATAATTATATAAAGTATATGCAACACATTTTCCACCAACAGGTCTCTGTGCCACACAATCAATAAAACAAAGCATACGGACTTCGCCACTTCAATATCATTGTTTGCGTTTTTGAAAGCACCAATGAATAGACTGTCAAACAAACTGAAAATACATCCCCCCGCTACCTTGTAGTCCTACCCAGTATCGAAGGCTTGGCTTGACAATCTCCGAATGTCATTAAACTTCGTTTGGATTGATTGATTTGATTTGTCAGTTAAAACATATACACACAGTTTATTAGGTACACCACCCCGTCATGAGAATGGTTCACTCCGACAGACATTGACGTAACCGTGGCTTGCTGTATAAAGCAGGCAGACAGGCATAGAGGCATTCAGTTACTGTTGGATTGAACGTTAGAATTGGCACAGATCCAGTACCTCCTGGGCTTTTCACGCACGACAGTGTCTAGGGTTGACCCAGAATGGTGCAACAAACAAAAGACATCCAGTCAGCGGCAGTCCTGTGGGCGAAAACAGCTTGTTGACGAGAGAGGTCGAAGCAGAATGGCAAGAATCACGCAACCTAACAGGCGGCCCACAAACAGACAAATAACGGCGCAGTACAACAGTGGTGTGCAGAACGGCATCTAGGAACACACAACTCGTCGGTCCTTGTCACGGACGGGCTGTCGCAGCAGACGACCACACCGGGTTCCACTCCTATCAACTCAAAACAAGAAGAAGCGGCTCCAGTGGGCACGCCATCACCAACACCGGACAACTGAGGAGTGGAAAAACATCACCTGGTCTGATGAATCCCGGTTCCTGTTGTGTCATGCTGATGGCAGAGTCAGGATTTGATGTAAGCAGCATGAGTCCACGGCCCCATCCTGCCTGGTGTCAACAGTACAGGCTGGTGGCTGGTGGTGTAATGGTGTGGGGAATGTTTTCCAGGCACACGTTAGGTCCCTCTTGATACCAATTGAGCAACGTTTGAATGCCACACCTTGTCAAATCTAAGCCCCTAAGAATTCAGGCTGTTCTGGAGGAAAAGGGGGGTCCGACCCGGTACTAGATGGGTGTACCTAATATACTGTTCACTGAGTGTATACACACAGTACAAACATTTAAAAAAGTGACCGGGATTGCACAATAGTCGGGGACTTATTTTCATTATGGTCCCAATTTTTTACAGAAGTACAGAGACACATTACAGAGATGCAGACACATTACAGAGATACAGACACATTACAGAGATACAGACACATTACAGAGATACAGACACATTACAGAGATACAGACACATTACAGAGATGCAGACAAAAAGAGGTTCTACTGTTCAAACATTAGCCAGCTATTGACATTATTTTTTTAAAGTGGTTATGGTTGTTAATGGCTTTGGAGTTGCTGTGGTAGTTTGTTCCACTCAACAGAGCCGGTATATAAAACTGTGTTCTTTCCAGATAGACTCTTATATTTAAAAACAGTGAATATTAGAGTCTCTGGCTGGTGGACATCTCTAAAAAATGAAATGTGTCTGTGATAATTCTGTGGACCCAGACCAAGTTGAATTAATACTACTCTTTTCCCCACAGATAGCCAGCCTAGCCGCTTAAAATGCTCGACTTCCAGATGAGTATGAGGGGGGGGAGTTGAAGTACAATTCTTACAAGCTTGTTTTGGCTGGTCTGTAACTTATTCTTTAGACGTTTGGGGCTGCTGGTGAACCATGATGTGAAGGCATAATGAAAGTGACACTGGACTAGCGCACTTGCCAGAGTCTTTAGGGTGTCTATAGCCATAGTTTCCATCCAATTGGCGACAGATTTTCACGTGAATATTCTAAACTCCGCAATAGGCGCATTTTCCCATCAGAATTGTGTTTCCATCAAATTGGCTTGTTGCGGATAATAGTAACTTGAGGTTAAATTAAATTTGAATAAAATGTCAATGGATCTCCATCGCATTTTGAACTCTATTGATGGTTTTGTCACTAAAAATGTTGCGCAGGTTTAGCAAATGTGCCCACTCTGGTCTTGGCACGTGCATTCTAGCCAACATCTTGCAGATTCAGTGTGGGTATAGCCTACATGATGAGATTATTATGGACAAAAGTGCAGATTATTTTTATTTGTCAAACGGCATCCAAGCATCGGTCATCATGTCACCAGAATAAGACCCTGGATATTTATTGGAAAGGAGCATCAAGCTCATCACCGTGCACTTTCACCACCCTGTGAAGTTCACCATAACTTATTTCATCTGTAGCCTAATAAACTGCATGGTTTCCTGAGTCGTAGTGGGAGGACCACACAACATGTCATCGCGTGACTCCAAGTGTACTTCGATATAATGGTTGTTATATCAATATTTGCTCATAAAAGCGTTTCACCGGCATTTCTCGCATATTTCATTTTACCGACACAAAAAAATCCCACCTTGTCCTAGCGTATTTTGTTTTGTCGACATTTGGAAAGTTTAGCGACACATTTGCTGTTGCCATCAGGCCTGTCGTGACCAATGATGTATATATTCACTAGATGATAGATAGGGGGTGCTGTTTTAATGCTACTCCATCTTGGCACTCCCCCACCATTGTAAAACGAATATTTTGGAAGCTATAGAAATGCATTTATTAATGTCTACATTCATTTTTGCCACATTTGATTCTATTACAGACACCTTAATGGATAATTTAAAGTTATATTATGTGAGCTAAACCTATATATATATATATATATATGTACATTACCAGTCAAAGGCTTGGACACACCTACTCATTCAAGGGTCTTTCTTTATTTTATTTTTTTTCTACATTGTAGAATAATAGTGAAGACATAAAAACTATGAAATAACACATACGGAATCATGTAGTAACCAAAAAAAAGTGTTAAACAAATCAAAATATATTTTATGCTTTTCCTTCACCATCTCAATTGGGTTGAAGTCAGGGGATTGTGGAGGCCAGGTCATCTGATGCAGCACTCCATCACTCTCCCACAGCCTGGGGGTGTGTTGGGTCATTGTCCTGTTGAAAAACAAATGATAGTCCCACTAACCACAAACCAGATGGGATGGCGTATCGCTGCACAATGCTGTGGTAGCCATGCTGGTTAAGTGTGCCTTGAATTCTAAATAAATCACAGACAGTGTCACCAGCAAAGCACCCCCACAGCATAACACCTCCTCCGCCATGCTTTACGGTGGGAAATACACATGCGGAGATCATCCGTTCACCCACACCGCGTCTCACAAAGACACAGCGGTTTCAACCAAAAATTACCAATTTGGACTCCAGACCAAAGGACACATTTCCACTGGTCTAATGTCCATTGCTCGTGTTTCGTGGCCCAAGCAGGTCTCTTCTTCTTATTGGTGTCATTTAGTAGTGGTTTCTTTGCAGCAATTCGACCATGAAGGCCTGATTCACACAGTCTCCTCTGAACAGTTGATGTTGAGATGTGTCTGTTACTTGGAACTCTGTGAAGCATTTATTTGGGCTGCAATTTCTAAGGCTGGTAACTCTAATGAACTTATCCTCTGCAGCAAAGGTAACTGTGGGTCTTCCTTTCCTGTGGTGGTCCTCATGAGATCCAGTTTCATCATAGCGCTTGATGGTCTTTGCTACTGCACTTGAAGAAACTTTAAAAGTTCTTGAATATTTCCGGATTGACTGACCTTAAAGTAATGATGGACTGTCGTTTCTCTTTGCTTATTTGAGCTGTTCTTGCCATAATATGGACTTGGTCTTTTACCAAATAGGGCTATCTTCTGTATACCACCCCTACCTTGTCACAACACAACTGATTGGCTCAAACGCATTAAGGAAATAAATTCCACAAATTTACTTTTAAGAAGGCACACCTGTTAATTGAAATGCATTCCAGGTGACTACCTCATGAAGCTGGTTGAGAGAATGCCAAGAGTGTGCAAAGCTGTCATCAAGGCAAAGGGTGGCAACTTTTGAAGAATCTCAAATATAAAATATATTTTGATTTGTTTAACACTGTTTTGGTTACTACATGATTCCATTAAGAAGGAAAGAAATTCCGCAAATTAACTTTTAACAAGGCACACCTGTTATTTTATTTTTTAGGGGGTAGATCAGCTTTAATATTGCAGATAGATTGTAACTTCCATCAACGTTATTGTCTGCATCACTTCCAATCCCCCAGATGTATTTTTTTCCGCAAATACAGTGGGGAGAACAAGTATTTGATACACTGCTGATTTTGCAGGTTTTCCTACTTACAAAGCATGTAGAGGTCTGTAATTTTTATCATAGGTACACTTCAACTGTGAGAGACGGAATCTAAAACAAAAATCCAGAAAATCACATTGTATGATTTTTAAGTAATTCATTTGCATTTTATTGCATGACATAAGTATTTGATCACCTACCAACCAGTAAGAATTCCGGCTCTCACAGACCTGTTAGTTTTTCTTTAAGAAGCCCTCCTGTTCTCCACTCATTACCTGTATTAACTGCACCTGTTTGAACTTGTTACCTGTATAAAATACACCTGTCCACACACTCAATCAAACAGACTCCAACCACACACTCAACCAAGCAGCTTGGTGAGAAGGCAACAACTGTTGGCGCAATTATTAGAAAATGGAAGAAGTTCAAGATGACGGTCAATGAGTAGGTGTGTCCAAACTTTTGACTGATGCTGTATATAAACTGAAAGTAAAAAAAAATAAAAAAATGGATTAATGTTACTGTCCCCACTACAACAACAAAAATTCTTAAATACATGTAATTTTGTTCTTGAAACATTTAATTGAAATACTGTAGAATTCCACTCATTCCTATGGTGGACTGCTCCTACTGGGGAGTACCAATATGGCCGACCTGTGGCTTGAAAGCCTCTCAATGGCCAATACATAGCATCAGCAATCTGGGGGTTTATATACATCATTGGTCGTGACATTTTTTTATCCGACATGTACTTTTACTCTCATAGAAAGGTTGGATGGAAACCTGGTTAATGTCAAGCCATTTAGAGGACGCTGGAATTACATTTTGGACGAACGTGTGCATGCATACAGGAGACTTGGAGTAGCCTAATCAGATTAAAACATTGTCTGCTTGTGTTTACGCCACATGTAATACATTTTAAAAGTGAAGTGACAAATATTTAAGCTATATTGAAGCATTAGGTTGCACGAGGAATAGCCGCTCGGATTGGAGAGGAGGCTAATCTTTCCTGAATAACTGGGCCTGCCGGGAGCCACATTATTATAGGAGGACTTGGGAGAATGATGATCCACAACAGACCGCGCATCTCAGTATCAGAAGTAAAAATACAGCCTGCTACTGTGTCTTTCTAGACCTTATAAACTGTAGAGAGTAGACCCACAACTGATCCTTATAAACTGTAGAGAGTAGACCCACAACTGATCCTTATAAACTGTAGAGAGTAGACCCACAACTGATCCTCATAAACTGTAGAGAGTAGACCCACAACTGATCCTTATAAACTGTAGAGAGTAGACCCACAACTGATCCTTATAAACTGTAGAGAGTAGACCCACAACTGATCCTTATAAACTGTAGAGTAGACCCACAACTGATCCTTATAAACTGTAGAGAGTAGACCCACAATGGATCCTTATAAACTGTAGAGAGTTGACCCACAACTGATCCTTATAAACTGTAGAGAGTAGACCCACAACTGATCCTTATAAACTGTAGAGAGTAGACCCACAACTGATCCTTATAAACTGTAGAGAGTAGACCCACAACTGATCCTCATAAACTGTAGAGAGTAGACCCACAACTGATCTTTATAAACTGTAGAGAGTAGACCCACAACTGATCCTTATAAACTGTAGTCTCGACCCACAACGGATCCTTATAAACTGTAGAGAGTAGACCCACAACTGATCCTCATAAACTGTAGAGAGTAGACCCACAACTGATCCTTATAAACTGTAGAGAGTAGACCCACAACTGATCCTTATAAACTGTAGAGAGTAGACCCACAACTGATCCTTATAAACTGTAGAGAGTAGACCCACAACTGATCCTTATAAACTGTAGAGAGTAGACCCACAACTGATACAAATCACAGGACTTTGGCACCGTTATTCAAATGACATTTTCATTGCAGCCTACAATAGAATTGTGTACTCACCAATGAAAATTATTCATTGCATTGTGGTGTTGTAAGCTAGTCTAGGTAGGATAATTGTATTGTCCCTAAACAGGCTGCGTGTCTCATGTCTTCACTGTTCTTTCATGCACAATGATGCACCTGCCCTCTCTGCTGCCTATCAGCTGTTCCTATGTCCTATTTGTTCTTGTGGATTCACATTGAAGATTGATGCAGCTTTGAATGTTTTGATGTGCCCAATAAAAAAACACTACCCTCCCCCTGTGTGCCAAAAAAAACAAACACACAACCCTCCCCAAAGAAAAAAGAACACTCTCTTATTCCCCCCCCCCCCCCCCCCCCCCCGAATAAATGTCTAACTGTCCCTAAGGGCTGTAATGGATACCTAGCTAGGGGGTAAGGACTAGGGAGGTGCCTGTTGCCTGACAACAGCCTCTCTGTCTTGTCTGAGTCTGTCTGTCTTACTACTGCACTGCTGGTATGTCTGTCTACTGCACTGCAGGCCTCACAGGTCTAGTTTATTAGAGAAATGACAAACAAATATGGATTTAGTCATGTAGTCTTCTTGGATTAATGGCAACTACTAAATGTTTTTAGTGAGCTGGTTGGTATGAGAGTACACTCAGCAGGAGAAGGCAGTTCTCAGAAAAGTCCAACTTGTTTTCCCCATATGGATAAATTACTGTGTGGTTGCACATGCATTTGCGCTTTCCCTGCGTGTCTGTGTCTGTGTGTATCAGGTGTATTGTGTGTGCGTGTGCGTGTGTGTGTGTGTACTGACATACTTTCCATGCACATCTTAATTCATGGTGTGATCCTTCCTGTGCTGTTCCAGGATCCTGAACACAACATTGTTTGAGAGCTGGGAGATCATTGGTCCATACCCCTCCTGGTGGCTCTTCAACTCCCTGCTGCTGGTGCTGCAGGTGCTGCACGTCATCTGGTCCTACCTCATAGCCGGGATCGCCTATAAGGCCTTGGTCCGAGGAAAGGTGGGTGGGATGTGAATGTCATCTGGTCCTACCTCATAGCCGGGATCGCCTATAAGGCCTTGGTCCGAGGAAAGGTGGGTGGGATGTGAATGTCATCTGGTCCTACCTCATAGCCGGGATCGCCTATAAGGCCTTGGTCCGAGGAAAGGTGGGTGGGATGTGAATGTCATCTGGTCCTACCTCATAGCCGGGATCGCCTATAAGGCCTTGGTCTGAGGAAAGGTGGGTGGGATGTGAATGTCATCTGGTCCTACCTCATAGCCGGGATCGCCTATAAGGCCTTGGTCCGAGGAAAGGTGGGTGGGATGTGAATGTCATCTGGTCCTACCTCATAGCCGGGATCGCCTATAAGGCCTTAGTCCGAGGAAAGGTGGGTGGGATGTGAATGTCATCTGGTCCTACCTCATAGCCGGGATCGCCTATAAGGCCTTGGTCCGAGGAAAGGTGGGTGGGATGTGAATGTAGAGGCCTCGACTTTTTTCACATTTTGTTACGTTACAGCCTTATTCTAAAATAGATTAAATTGGGGGGTTTTCCCCTCATCAATCTACACACAATACCCCATAATGACAAAGCAAAAAAATTAAATATCACATTTACATAAGTATTCAGAACCTTTACTCAGTACTTTGTTGAAGCAGCTTTGGCAGCGATTGCAACCTTGAGTCTTCTTGGGTATGACGCTACAAGCTTGGCACACCTGTATTTGGGGAGTTTCTCCCATTCTTCTCTGCAGATCCTCTCAAGCTCTGTCAGGTTGGATGGGGAGCGTCACTGCACAGCTATTTTAAGGTCTCTCCAGAGATGTTCGATCGGGTTCAAGTCCAGGCTCTGGCTGGGCCACTGAAGGACATTCAGAGAATTGTCCCGAAACCACTCCTGCGTTGTCTTGGCTGTGTGCTTAGGGTTGTTGTCCTGTTGGAAGGTGAACCTTCTCCCCAGTCTAAGGTCCTGAGCGCTCTGGAGCTGGTTTTCATCAAGGATCTCTCTGTATTTTGCTCTGTTCATCTTTCCCTCGATCCTGACTAGTCTCCCAGTCCCTGCTGCTGAAAAACATCCCCACAGCATGATGCTGCCACCACCATGCTTCACCGTAGGGATGGTGCCAGGTTTCCTCTAGACATGACGCTTGGTATTCAGGCCAAAGAGTTCAATCTTGGTTTCATCAGACCAGAGAATCTTGTTTCTCATGGTCTGAGAGTCCTTTAGGTGACTTTTGTCAAACTCCAAGTGGGCTGTCGTGTGTTTTACTGAAGAGTGGCTTCCGTCTGGCCATTCTACCATAAAGGCCTTATTGGTGGAGTGCTGCAGAAATGGTTGTCCTTCTGGAAGGTTCTCCCATCTCCACAGAGGAACTCTGGAACTCTGTCAGAGTGACCATTGGGTTCTTGGTCACCTCCCTGACCAAGGCCCTTCTCCCCCGATTGCTCAGTTTGGCCGGCCGGCCAGCTCTAGAAAGAGTATTGGTGGTTCCAAACTTCTTCCATTTAAGAATGATGGAGGCCACTGTGTTCTTGGGGACCTTTCCCTAGATTGCTTTGTCATTACGGGGTATTGTGTGTAGATTGATGAGGAAAAACATTTATTTAATCCATTTTAGAATAAGGCTGTAACGTAACAAAATGTGGAAAAATGGAAGGGGTCTGAATACTTTCCGAATGTACTGTATAGGCCTATTACAAGTGAGATGTAGACAGGTGAGTGTGAGGTGTAACTACCCAAGGTAACTACTAGGTACCTCATAGCCGGGATAACCTACAAGCCCATGGTCAGAGGAAAGGTGAGTCTGATTTAGTACTGCTGTGCTCAGACTCAGGGCCCTAGTTAACATGGTCAGAGGAAAGATGGGTGTGATTGAGGACTGCTGTGCTCAGACTCAGGGCCCTAGTTAACATGGTCAGAGGAAAGATGGGTGTGATTGAGGACAGGGCCTATATGCTAGGACAGCGTCTCAGAGTAGAAGTGCTGATCTAGGATCAGGTCCTTCCTGCCTTGATCATCTTATTAATTATGATCTAAAAGACACAACTGATGATATTACTCTGACTGTTGTGAATACAGGCCCAGGCTTTTACTTATTACTCTGAGACTGTTGTGAATACAGGCCCAGGCTTTTGAGAAATCCATTATGTCAGACCTCAGTCTGTAGTTATTAAATCCTAACGCTACGATTGTGGAAGCTATAGAATAACTATGGAATAAGGTAACATTTCATCAGTGTTTGTTCATTGCTTTCTTCCTTTTCTTGTATTGATTCTCTCTCCTTCCCTCTGCAGAGGGGGTTTGTTTCCTCTCTCTTGGGTGGAGGGTCCCGTCTTTCCATCTGTCTCCTCAGTCCTCATTCTCCCTTTCGCTTGTCCTTGCTTTACTGTCTAACTAAGATTAAGATCCCTCTATTGGTCAATTGCACACAAGGTCCAACCAAAATTTGACTTCCGCTTTTAACCCAACCCCTCTGAAAGACACACATACATATACAGGTTTTTTGGAGAGGTGCGGGGGGGCTGCCACACTGGGCACGGGGGAGCTGTTGTTGTGGGGGGGGGTTAAGTGCCTTGCTCAAGTGCACAACCGCAGGCAATGGCATCCGGTTGCCAGCTCACTTCCCGCCAGATTGACAACTCCCTTCTCTGCTCTGCTTTCTGCAGTATGTCTCTCTTCTCATTCCTTTCACTTTTATGCCAATGTCATTTATTCTTGTTAATGTGGTTGTGGTTCATGAATATGATCTAGATGGCTGTCAGTGTTTCCATGCTCCTTTAAACTCCATCTTGTGGCGCTTGCGAGCATGTGCAGTTTGAGTCCGAATTCATTAAGGAAGTCTGATAAAAAAATTTAACCAGAAATGGGTAATGGGTTACGTATGAAGATATTCTAATGTTATTCATGTTTTTGTAAACAACCTATGAAAATTAAGTGCCTTAATCTTTCAGACCATGTAACATGTTTCCAGGCTGTCTAGCTAAATGTCTATGGAGTTCAATTGTGACACGTCTATCAGAGTGGACCGCCAACTACAGTCACCATCAGCCGATATTTGTAAAAATGTCCATTCCTTAATGTACCTGTTTGTCCAGTGTAACTGTGTTCTATTCTTTGGGTGCTGATATCCGTAGTTTTTTATAAAAACGTCATTCTATGTGAAACGTGCACTACTACTTCGACACTTTTGGAAATATCCATTCTTTAATGCTTATGCTACTGTGTACCTGTGCTCGTCCTGATTGTCAACTTTGAATTGTAACATTGTATTTCTCTCTGTCTGACAGGTGTCTAGGGATGACCGCAGTGACGTTGAGAGCAGCTCAGAGGAGGAGGCTGACACCAACGGGACCAACGACAGGGGGGTTAAAATGGCGTTCTCTCCTAAGGTAGAGAACGGCACCAATGGCACCAACGGCTACGCCGTCACCACTATAACCTGGCCACAACAGATACGCAGCAGCAGCAGCTGGTGATACAGAAAGAGGAGTCTGCTGTCTGATTCACAGTATAGGGCTGACCTGGGTCCAATATGTCTGGCCTGGTTACGCTGCGCATCCACTAGTTGTCGGAACTGAAAGGACAATGTAAAAAAAAATATCAGAGACAGTACTGTTCAGGTCGGCCCTATAGTAAGAATCAGGCATATCTGTGAGCCCTTTCCACTACTAGTTCATCCTATCCTACACTACATCTTGAAGTGCTTTTCCTGCCTCATCCAGTTCCCTGGACGTTTTAAGTCCGTTTCTTAATTCATCTCTGACTCTTAATTATACTGGTTTTTTTTCCAGCACTGTCAACAATGATCACATTACTTTTCAGAAGTGACAATGATTGGTGACTATGACATCAGACGATGGATGAATAGACAGACCCATAGAATCAAAAACGGATTACATTTTTAACTGATAAAAACACTTTTCATTCCCGTGTGTCCATAGAATGGGTGTAACTGTTTTTTCATTCTTATTCCACTTTTTAATGTGATGCTGAAGTTTGTTGGGGAGGATGTTCTCTCCCTGTTTTATGTCAGTTGAACTAAAGTTATTACTGTATATATTTTTTAACAAATAAATGTTTATTTGTGAAAGATATGTTTTTATTCATATTACACGGCTGTAAAATGACAATACCCCACCACCCAAACCGTGCTCCAGTGTATCCTGAGAGAAATGAAATAGGGGAGGGATTTTACATTTCATCTTATTTAATTTGACCATTTTGGCATTTAATAACTTAACAAGTAATCCTGTAGAGTTTAGAAAGACCTTCTCTGCCGCAGCCCTCTCTGTGGTGGCATCGTCTGTGTGCTAAAGGGTCAAGTCAGGACCATGGGGAGAGAGACTGAAGACAGATGACGTTCTCGTTCTTTAGCTACTCTTTTGGGCACACAAAACCGTTGATCACATGATCAGTACCCAAAGATTATCATTCAAGTATTTTGGGAGGAACAGAAATGTCCATGATTTTTTGGGACAAACTATCCAGGCCTCTATGGCTTGAGGGCCTCCACGTCCTGGTTTTCTGCCGCTACCTGCAGCTCTTTCTGCTTGTTCATGTAGCGGTATCCCCGCATGGTGCACATGTATCCTCCGTAGAGTGTCAACAGCATCATCGAGGCAGAAAACCCCCGGTATCCGAAGTCGGCGAGGCGCTTTGCAGCGGTCAACATGGTGATGGTGTTCCTGGCGGAACCAAAAACATGTGGGTCTCGGAGCAGGTTCTCCAGCAACGTTACAACGACGGTTAGCTACATGAATCTCCTTGTTTACTGATGTGCTTAACAAGGTGGTTATCACAGTTAATAATATGCTAACATGTCCCTTACTGATGACATTATCATCGGGGGTTGATCCTAAAGACACTGATGGAACTTAGCCAGCTAAAGTTAGCTAGTTACTGTTAGCTAGTTAGGTTAGCTAACGTTTGGCTAGTTAAAGATTAGCAAGCAAGCGTTTCGTTTTATCAACTAATAAATAAAAAAATGCTGTGGTTTTCCCGTTTCAGATGATTGTTATGTAGCTAAATTGCATTGTTGCGTACCTTTTTTTGTAATGGAGAATGACAGTCAGATTGTTGATACCCCTCTCAACGTTAACACTCACCTAGCCTAATACCTAACTGCACCTTTCGTAACTGATACCAAGGTTTTGCGAGGGACAGAAAGTCCATTCGGTTCTTGAGTAATCAGTAGAGGGAGGACTATCAACGTTCTATCGATGTTTCCTAGTCGGACATATTTTGATGCCGCACTCGTCAGCACAGCGACGGTTTCTTTCCGCTAGTTACCACTATTACACAAATGTAATATCGTGGCTATATATCGTAAAAATGTATGAAAACTAAAATTTGCTTTTTGGTATTAATTTAAGGTTAATGTTAGCAGTGTGGTTAAGGTTAGGTTTAAAATCTAATTTTAAGAATAGAAATTGGAGAAATATACCGGGTTTATGACTTTGTAGCTGTGGTAACTATTAACGACTCCATAGCGATGGCAGCATGTGGAGCAGAGAGTGACGTTCTGGATGAAAAAGATGATCCCGGTGCAGCATTTTACGGAAATGTTATACATTATTACACATTCAACCCACCAGAGAACCGTCTAAGCCTAATTTCGACCACACTTATTCAGGATTTGGGGTATGGCAAAGACTGCATTGAAACCATATTGATGCTGGACATCGGCTGCAATTAAGACACAGAAACGGACTAAATCATGTTAGCCAGCCTTTACACATTGATTCACCACCCACACAAGCTAGCACCACAATCACTGAGTTTCATCATCCGTCATTGAATACTTTGAGTCAGATGTCTGTCACCAATGAAGTCTTTTGTCTTATCTGTGTGTAATATCACAGGACCTGACAGTGGCATTGTACAGACACCTCCAGCAGAGGGCCCAGTCTGAAGAGGTTACAGCACCGGCACTGATCTCCGGCTCTTGGGCTTTGACCTGGACGAAGCCATTATCCTCCGGGCTCAACAGACAAACCCTTTCCCTCAGAACATCTCCTTCATTCCCCTAGACATCACCCAGGAGGACACTAGTGCCAGCCAGCTAAAGGACTACTAGAGACGACATAGCTGCTCCCGTTTCCACCTCTCCCTGTGCCTGGCTGTCACCATGTGGGTCCATCTGAACCATGGAGTCTCCTCTCCCTGTGCCTGGCTGTCACCATATGGGTCCATCTGAACCATGGAGACTCCTCTCCCTGTGCCTGGCTGTCACCATGTGGGTCCATCTGAACCATGGAGCCTCCTCTCCCTGTGCCTGGCTGTCACCATGTGGGTCCATCTGAACCATGGAGACTCCTCTCCCTGTGCCTGGCTGTCACCATGTGGGTCCAGGAGCTTCAAGCACAGTTAAATAAGGACCAGTATGTTGATTGAACACTAGGTGACAATAATACTGTGTTGTTACCAATGGGTTGTTATTGCTGTCTAATGACACCTGCATAGTGCATATTTTAGACAGCTATACATTTAGGTTGACCTAACTCGATACTATTCATAGACGTTGTGTTTTGGGGCAATTCCATCGTAACGGAGTGTATGCCAAACAAAAAACATTGATTTCAAAGATTAACAAACCATAGAACTCTATGCACAGTGACTACTTTGAACAATTTACACAGTAAATAAAATACAAAATAAATTTACTGGAAAAACTGTGCAGATGCAAACTTTGTATCTGCCACATGCCATAATTGGGGAGGACAGGCTCGTGGTAACGGCTGGAGTGGAATAAATAGAATGGTATCAAATACATCATACATATGGTTTCCATGGTTTCCATGTGTTTGATACCATCCCATTGACTCCATTCCAGCCATTATTATGGGCTGTCCTCCCCTCAGCAGCCTCCTGTGATTTCTTCTGCACAGTTGCTGTAAACGTGTATTTTCAGTGATTGTGAAAAGTAGGCCTTGTGCATAGAGTTGTATGGTTTGTTAAACTTTGAAATCAACGTTTTTTTGTTTGGTATACATTTTAAAGTGAAAAATCTGAGTTTCTCAGCGTAGTTCCTTTACCATAGAATTGCCCTTTGGAAAACAATCATAAACCTTCAACTGACAGATAATGTAATACATGAATCTTGTATGTTTTCATAATCAGAAAAAAAAATCACATGATTTTACTTCTCCAAAGCCATGTTACATTTCATAATGTTATGAATCCTAAACTTTCACAGAACTCTCTACAAAGTTCAGTAGAAAATCAACTGTATTAGTCCTGTCTGCCACATGCACCGGTGACACAGAAAGTAGGTGGCCAAACCCAGTTTGTGGTGTCCTGTTTCCTGACCCCATAAGAACCATTATCTCGCTGCAATGAGGATGATGCTGTTATTAGCCTACTGTCTCTTTACAATCCGTTTTGACCGCTATCCCAGCCGTTGCACGGCAGGGTGTATGCTCGAAATAAGACCAAACGGTTTCTCTAAATACATATTTTTATATACTGATACATATTTTTTTTATTTTCTTTACAGTAAGAACAACCAAATGTTTATATTCCTCTAGCTACAAACACACATCTATCGTGTCGTGATCTTATGGTATTCTCTCATGCTCATTACTGAATGTAGATAGACAAAGAAGCCATAAATGTGATATAGATCTGATATAAACTCTTATATAATGGTTCTTCAACCTCAGCCAGAAGGATCCGACGGGTCTTTAGTGAGAGCTGAATCTGGAGCTCTCTCTCTGTTCCGTTGTTTTAATCAGCAGTTTGGGTGTTGGGGAGCTGGAGCTGCTGTGGCGTCCATTAGCGGAACTCTTAGAACCTGGACAGAACACAACAGTGGCAATCTAATGGTTAGAGCCTAATATCTGCTTTTGTGTCTCAAAATACAGCATTTAGTGTAATTCTAGTCAGCGGATAGCATTAAATAGAGTACATTTACTGCTGTATTTTTTCAGTAGTACATATACCACTTACTGTAGTTGGAGACTGACTGGATGTTGAGAATAGATTGATGTCCAATCCTGAGAGACAAGTGTGCTGCTTCAGTTTGTGAAAAGATTGCAGATAATACTTTTCACACATTGTCCGGTCCTTGTTTAGAACCTCAACCTATAGACACCATACTGTATAATGTGTACCTATAATAATACCTGTCCTCCTCTCCCTCCATACCTGTCCTCTCCCTCCATACCTGTCCTCCTCTCCCTCCATACCTGTCCTCCTCCTCTCCCTCCATACCTGTCCTCCTCCCCCTCCTTACTTGTCCTCCTCTCCCTCCATACCTGTCCTCCTCTCCCTCCATACCTGTCCTCCTCTTCCTCCATACCTGTCCTCCTCCCCCTCCATATCTGTCCTCCTCTCCCTCCTTACTTGTCCTCCTCCTCCTCCTCCTCCTCCTCCTCCTCCTCCTCCCCCTCCATAACTGTCCTCCTCTCCATCCATACCTGTCCTCATCTCCCTCCATACCTGTCCTCCTCTCCCTCCATACCTGTCCTCCTCCCCCTCCTTACTTGTCCTCCTCCTCCTCCTCCATACCTGTCCTCCTCTCTCTCCTTACCTGTTCTCCTCTCCCTCCATACCTGTCCTCCTCTCCCTTCATACCTGTCCTCCTCTCCCTCCATACCTGTCCTCCTCTCCCTCCTTACCTGTCCTCCTCTCCCTCCAGTAGTTTTCTGTAGGTGGCTATCTCTATGTCCAGGGCCAGCTTGACGTTCATCAGGTCCTGGTACTCTCTGAGCTGCCTGGCCATGTCCTGCTTGGCCCTCTGCAGAGCATCCTCCAGATCTCTGATCCTGGACTTAGCCTCCTTCACAGCCAGCTCCCCACGGTCCTCAGCCTCGGCTATCTGGTTCTCCAGGTTGGCTCGCTACAGGATATATAGGTATAGTTAGAGTTAGAGACTTAGCCACTTCCACAGCCAGCTCGCCCTGGCCCCTAGCCTCGGCTATCTGGTTCTCCAGGTTGGCTCGCTACAGGATATATAGGTATAGTTAAAGTAGAGTTAGGTTAGAGACTTAGCCACTTCCACAGCCAGCTCGCCCTGGCCCCTAGCCTCGGCTATCTAGTTCTCCAGGTTGGCTCGCTACAGGATATATAGGTATAGTTAAAGTTAGAGTTAGGTTAGAGACTTAGCCACTTCCACAGCCAGCTCGCCCTGGCCCCTAGCCTCGGCTATCTGGTTCTCCAGGTTGGCTCGCTACAGGATATATAGGTACAGTTAGAGTTAGAGACTTAGCCACTTCCACAGCCAGCTCGCCCTGGCCCCTAGCCTCGGCTATCTGGTTCTCCAGGTTGGTACACCACATCAACACCAGGGTTAAGGCTGCATTAACTCCATGGCAGTACTTGCTTGCTTAAGCCTCATCACACCAAGTGGCATACACAGTCTTAGTGGGCACACTCCATGGCATGGCTGCTGAATCTTTCATCCCATAAAGTAGATCCAATCCCATCCGACAGGGTATGTGCTGCATCCAGAGTTTTTGTTTGATATTACTGTGCCTCAAAGCGGTCAAAGCATAAGTGAACCGAGTTGAATAAGTAAACTAACTAACCTGTTGTTTGACAGCTTCTATCTCACTCTGCAGACGTCCGATCAAGCGGTTGATTTCTGCTATCTCTCCCTTGGTGTTCCTCAGCTCGTCTCCGTACTGGGTGGCCTGGATGGCCATCTGGTTAAACTGAGGGAAAATAAGACCAGTTCTCTTGGAGCTTTGGGCACAAGTCTGTTTAGCTACCATTCCACTCCTTGTACTCTGTGTCATTATGCCAAAGATATATGTTTAGCAATGACAAGGAGTGGAAAGGAGTGGGATGATAAACTGCTAAACAGACTGGTACCCGGGCTAGTTCTCTAGCACTGTCTTCCAACTATCTGCCGAACCACACTGCTTTGACTGAGATATTTTTCTTTCACATTGTCCTTTTACTGTACTGTGGTTCCGGCAACTATTGCTCAGTAGTGTGTGTAAAGGGTATTGATTTCAATGTAGTAAAACAAAAATCCCTCTCCTTAACCACTTCAATCCTAGAATAGTCAACTGTTGTTGTTCACCTTGGACTTGTACCACATCTCAGCCTCCTCTCGGCTCTTGGCAGCGATGTCTTCGTACTGAGCCTTGACGTCAGCCACTATCTGGTCCATGTTGAGGTCGCGACTGTTGTCCATCTCCACCACCACAGAGGTGTCCCTGATGCTGGCCTGCAGCTCACGCAGCTCCTGGATGTAAACAGTGCAGTGTGTTCCTACGTTTTTTTAGTATGTGTATGTGATCCTTGCCGGATTTGAGCCTACAACCTTTCACCAACTGCCTGCGCCATACAGGACCACTTGTGTATTGTAATGTATTGTATTGTTAATATAGTAGATACAGTAATGACCTTACCTCCTCATAGATGGTCCCGAGGAAGTTGATCTCATCAGTCAGATGATGACCTTACCTCCTCATAGATGGTCCCGAGGAAGTTGATCTCATCAGTCAGATGATGACCTTACCTCCTCATAGATGGTCCCGAGGAAATTGATCTCATCATTCAGATGATGACCTTACCTCCTCATAGATGGTCCCGAGGAAGTTGATCTCATCATTCAGATGATGACCTTACCTCCTCATAGATGGTCCCGAGGAAGTTGATCTCATCAGTCAGATGATGACCTTACCTCCTCATAGATGGTCCCGAGGAAGTTGATCTCATCAGTCAGATGATGACCTTACCTCCTCATAGATGGTCCCGAGGAAATTGATCTCATCATTCAGATGATGACCTTACCTCCTCATAGATGGTCCCGAGGAAGTTGATCTCATCAGTCAGATGATGACCTTACCTCCTCATAGATGGTCCCGAGGAAGTTGATCTCATCAGTCAGATGATGACCTTACCTCCTCATAGATGGTCCCGAGGAAATTGATCTCATCAGTCAGATGATGACCTTACCTCCTCATAGAGGGTCCTGAGGAAGTTGATCTCATCAGTCAGAGCTCCCACCCTGTCTTCCAGGTCTGCTTTCACCAGGTATGCTGAGTCCACATCCTGAAAGGACAACAAACGGTAGTTACCCATAGCCTAGCGGTTAAGAGCATTGGGTCAGTAACCAGAATCCCCGAGCCGACTAGGTGAAAAATCTTGCCGATGTGCCCTTGAGCAAGGTACTTAACCCTAATTGCTCTGGATAACAGCGTCTGCTAAATGACGAAAATGTAGCTACCACTGTTTGTCGAAACATACCAGGTGCAATTTAGATTAATCATTTCATTGCAAAGCTACTAGTTTATGTTGAAATTGGTTTTGACGTGGTTGGTTGAGATGTTCTCTGTCTCCCCCTAAACACCCCAGGCCCGGTTCTTGTTCAGTGGTGATATGATATTTTATGAGCTTAACGTTTTTTCATCTCGTAGAAAGTGGGCCAGGTTTGGTCATACTGTTGTCTCTGTCTCTCTGTGTCCTTTCATCTGCAGTGTTTGTCTAGCTTACCCTCGCTCCCATAGGGGCTGCGCTGGATCGCTGAACGCAACATCAAGTTGATGTCTTAGTGTGGTATTGTGTCCATAAATGAGTCCAATATGTGTGTTGAACTTCAGAGACTGCACCAAGAAAACACAAAATCTAAGGTGTCACTGGGGAAATGGGATGTTCTCACCTTTTTTAGGATTACAAATTCGTTCTCCAGATTGTTTCTCTTGTTGATCTCATCTTCGTATCTAGGTCAGAAGAACAGGTGACGAGATACTGGATTAGGTCACAGTAGCAAGGTTCTGGCATCCGTCATTTAGGGTTAAATAAATAGGTTGAAGAAGGCTCCTTGGCTCTGTCTCAGTTGCTTACAAATCTGTTGAAGGCTATTGAGACTTTTTGTGTTTGAAGTCCCCCACCAGCCCCTGCATGTTCCTCAGCTCTCCAGACAGACAGACAGACAGACAGACAGACATACAGACTCCTACTTGTGTTTGAAGTCCCCCACCAGCCCCTGCATGTTCCTCAGCTCTCCAGACAGACAGACAGACAGACAGACAGACAGACAGACAGACAGACAGACAGACTCCTACTTCTGTTTGAAGTCCCCCACCAGCCCCTGCATGTTCCTCAGCTCTCCAGACAGACAGACAGACAGACAGACAGACAGACAGACAGACATACTCCTACTTCTGTTTGAAGTCCTCCACCAGACCCTGCATGTTCCTCAGCTCTCCAGACAGACAGACAGACAGACAGACAGACAGACAGACAGACTCCTACTTCTGTTTGAAGTCCTCCACCAGACCCTGCATGTTCCTCAGCTCTCCGTCCAGCTTGGTCTTATCGTTGTTGACCACGTCCATCTGGCGGCGGAGGTTGGCCATGTAGGCCTCGAACAGCGGCTCGATGTTGGAGCGGCCCGTCTGCTTACCGTGCAGCAGGTCAAACTTAGTCTCTAACATCTTATTCTGCTGCTCCAGGAAACGCACCTAAAAGGGAGGAGAGCGAGAAGCCCTTAGCTGATGAAATAGTCGCAACAGTCCAAGCATGGGGAGGAAGATGTTGAGTGTAGTCTGCTAATACATGTACATTGTAGCAACTTTAATAGAGACCCTGGTACAACACTTTGTCTCTGTTTTAACCTCTTGGTCTAATGGTTTAAGTCTGGGCTGACAGTCGAAGGGACCTGGGCCCAAGTCCTGGTTGGACTAACCACCTCAGATTGCTGCAATATTTTGTCTTGACATGTCATTGTGGCCCTTTACCTTCCAAACGTGTTTTCTGCAGTAATGTATGGGCTTGGAGCGAACTGTTTTTTTTTTTAATTTTAAAATTGTATTATTATTTTTGATTATTTTTTTAGGGGGTGGATCAGCTTTAATATTTCAGATAGATTGTAACTTCCATCAATGTAATTGTCTGCATCACTTCCAATGTTTCTTTCTCACAAATATATATATATATATCAAATTTTATTGGCCACATGCGCCGAATACAACAGGTGCAGACATTACAGTGAAATGCTTACTTACAGCCCTTAACCAACAGTGCATTTATTTTTAATTAAAAAAAGTAGAATAAAACAAAAAAGTGTTGAGAAAAAAAGAGCAGAAGTAAAATAAAATAACAGTAGGGAGGCTATATACAGGGGGTACCGGTGCAGAGTCAATGTGCGGGGGCACCGGCTAGTTGAGGTAGTTGAAGTAATATGTACATGTGGGTAGAGTTAAAATGACTATGCATAAATAATTAACAGAGTAGCAGCAGCGTAAAAAGATGGGGTGGGGGGGCAGTGCAAATAGTCCGGGTAGCCATGATTAGCTGTTCAGGAGTCTTATGGCTTGGGGGTAGAAGCTGTTGAGAAGTCTTTTGGACCTAGACTTGGCACTCCGGTACCGCTTGCCGTGCGGTAGCAGAGAGAACAGTCTATGACTAGGGTGGCTGGAGTCTTTGACAATTTTGAGGGCCTTCCTCTGACACCGCCTGGTATAGAGGTCCTGGATGGCAGGAAGCTTGGCCCCAGTGATGTACTGGGCCGTACGCACTACCCTCTGTAGTGCCTTGCGGTCGGAGGCCAAGCAGTTGCCATTCCAGGCGGTAATGCAACCAGTCAGGATGCTCTCGATGGTGCAGCTGTAGAATTTTTTGAGGATCTGAGGACCCATGCCAAATCTTTTCAGTCTCCTGAGGGGGAATAGGCTTTGTCGTGCCCTCTTCACGACTGTCTTGGTGTGTTTGGACCATGATAGTTAGTTGGTGATGTGGACACCAAGGAACTTGAAGCTCTCAACCTGTTCCACTACAGCCCTGTCGATGAGAATGGGGGCGTGCTCAGTCCTCTTTTTTTTCCTGTAGTCCACAATCATCTCCTTTGTGTTGGTCACGTTGAGGGAGAGGTTGTTATCCTGGCACACGGCCAGGTCTCTGACCTCCTCCCTATAGGCTGTCTCATCGTTGTCGGTGATCAGGCCTACCACTGTTGTGTCGTCGGCAAACTTAATGATGGTGTTGGAGTCGTGCCTGGCCATGCAGTCATGGGTGAACAGGGAGTACAGGAGGGGACTGAGCACGCACCCCTGAGGGGCCCCCGTGTTGAGTATCAGTGTGGCAGATGTGTTGTTACCTACCCTTTCCACCTGGGGGCGGCCCGTCAGGAAGTCCAGGATCCAGTTGCAGAGGGAGGTGTTTAGTCCCAGGATCCTTAGCTTAGTGATGAGCTTTGAGGGCACTATGGTGTTGAATGCTGAGCTGTAGTCAATGAATAGCATTCTCACGTAGGTGTTCCTCTTGTCCAGGTGGGAAAAGGCAGTGTGGAGTGCAATAGAGATTGCATCATCTGTGGATCTGTTGGGGCGGTATGGAAATTGGAGTGGGTCTAGGGTTTCTGGGATAATGCTGTTGATGTGAGCCATGACCAGCCTTTCAAAGCACTTCATGGCTACAGACGTCAGTGCTACGGGTCGGTAGTCATTTAGGCAGGTTATCTTAGTGTCCTTGGGCACAGGGACTATGGTGGTCTGCTTGAAACATGTTGGTATTACAGACTCAGTCAGGGACATGTTGAAAATGTCAGTGAAGACACTTACCAATTGGTCAGCACATACATATATACATATACATAAACACACATATATATATATATATATATATATATATATATATATATATATACACACATATACACATACATACACACACATACATATATATACATACATACATATATACATACATCCATACACACACACATATCCTTTTTTAAATGATATTTCCCTTCATTACTTTCCAACCCCACCACCCCTTCCCCAATTGGAGTAAACTAGTGAACAACAACGCTTAGGCCTCTACTTCCAGCCCATACAGTGGGGGAAAAAAGTATTTAGTCAGCCACCAATTGTGCATGTTCTCCCACTTAAAAAGATGAGAGAAGCCTGTAATTTTCATCATAGGTACACGTCAACTATGACAGACAAATTGAGGAAAAAAAATCCAGAAAATCACATTGTAGGATTTTTTATGAATTTATTTGCAAATGATGGTGGAAAATAAGTATTTGGTCACCTACAAACAAGCAAGATTTCTGGCTCTCACAGACCTGTAACTTCTTCTTTAAGAGGCTCCTCTGTCCTCCACTTGTTACCTGTATTAATGGCACCTGTTTGAACTTGTTATCAGTATAAAAGACACCTGTCCACAACCTCAAACAGTCACACTCCAAACTCCACTATGGCCAAGACCAAAGAGCTGTCAAAGGACACCAGAAACAAAATTGTAGACCTGCACCAGGCTGGGAAGACTGAATCTGCAATAGGTAAGCAGCTTGGTTTGAAGAAATCAACTGTGGGAGCAATTATTAGGAAATGGAAGACATACAAGACCACTGATAATCTCCCTCGATCTGGGGCTCCACGCAAGATCTCACCCCGTGGGGTCAAAATGATCACAAGAACGGTGAGCAAAAATCCCAGAACCACACGGGGGGACCTAGTGAATGACCTGCAGAGAGCTGGGACCAAAATAACAAAGCCTACCATCAGTAACACACTACGCCGCCAGGGACTCAAATCCTGCAGTGCGAGACGTATCCCCCTGCTTAAGCCAGTACATGTCCAGGCCCGTCTGAAGTTTGCTATAGTGCATTTGGATGATCCAGAAGATGATTGGGAGAATGTCATATGGTCAGATGAAACCAAAATAGAACTTTTTGGTAAAAACCCAACTCATCATGTTTGGAGGACAAAGAATGCTGAGTTGCATCCAAAGAACACCATACCTACTGTGAAGCATGGGGGTGGAAACATCATGCTTTGGGGCTGTTTTTCTGCAAAGGGACCAGGACGACTGATCCGTGTAAAGGAAAGAATGAATGGGGCCATGTATCGTGAGATTTTGAGTGAAAACCTCCTTCCATCAGCAAGGGCATTGAAGATGAAACGTGGCTGGGTCTTTCAGCATGACAATGATCCCAAACACACCGCCCGGGCAACGAAGGAGTGGCTTCGTAAGAAGCATTTCAAGGTCCTGGAGTGGCCTAGCCAGTCTCCAGATCTCAATCCCATAGAAAATCTTTGGAGGCAGTTGAAAGTCCGTGTTGCCCAGCGACAGCCCCAAAACATCACTGCTCTAGAGGAGATCTGCATGGAGGAATGGGCCAAAATACCAGCAACAGTGTATGAAAACCTTGTGAAGACTTACAGAAAACGTTTGACCTGTGTCATTGCCAACAAAGGGTATATAACAAAAGTATTGAGAAACTTTTGTTATTGACCAAATACTTATTTTCCACCATAATTTGCAAAAAAATTCATTAAAAATCCTACAATGTGATTTTCAGGATTTTTTTTCCTCATTTTGTCTGTCATAGTTGACATGTACCTATGATGAAAATTACAGGCCTCTCTCATCTTTTTAAGTGGGAGAACTTGCACAATTGGTGGCTGACTAAATACTTTTTTCCCCACTGTACATACTATATACATTTTATAGACACAGTCAAATTCTACAATAATTATATTTTGTTTGTTTTTACTCCTGAACTTCCTCCGATCATTTTCATGATGTCCATCTGGTTTGCTTCTATGTGCCATATTTTTCTAACTGTGCTCTTTCACAAAAGCTCTCAACCTATAACCTATATACTTATTATGGACACAGTATTCTTTACATGAGTTATGTTGTTGTTATTAGTTGTTGTTATTAGTCCCATCCTTCAGCTCCATTCAACACCTCCCATCTATCTCTTAACGCCATCCATATTAGATTTCAATTTTCCATATATTTCTCAACTGTATTGTGATGTGTCACAAAAGTTCTGAACCTTTCTCTTTCTACAGATCATAAATTGAAAATAAACATTTTGCTAAAAGTATTATTATATTATTGATCGATTGACTATGACTTTTCAGATCACCCACTAGTGCTATCTGCAGGGTTAGCTCCAGGTAAATATTGCAATCCTTCAGCCATTCCTGGACCTGAGTCCAAAAGCAAGCTACAAATGGACAGTACCAAAACAAATGATGTAATGCTTGTCTCTTCGCAGCAAAATCTGCAGAGCTGGGAAGATTGTATCCCCCATATAAATAACATTCTATTGGTAGCAAGATTTTGATATAATAATTTAAATTGAAAAATTATCTGTTTTGAATCCGGCGTCGTTTTGTGTATCAGTTCATAAACACTATGCCATGGAATTGGTACGTCAAAAATCTCTTCCCAACTATTTTGCAATCTATATGGGACGGCTGTCAATCCTTTGGTCCTTAAATGAAACTGGTATACTTTTTTATTTATCACAATTTTTTTAACCAATTATATTCTTTAATGCAAGGCCGACAGACAAGTTCCTTACTTTTTCCCCCTTCCACTTTCCTTTTCCATTTTTGCGGTAATGCTGCAATTATTTGGTTGTAATTTTGGGTAGAGCAGACATTTCCATATGTTTTTGTTAACTGCATGTGCGACATAACTCCACCAGTTCTAACGATAA